CCTCGCTATGCTGGACTGCCGGGATGATGCCACCCGACGAGTAGCTGCTCTTGAGTCCTTCAACCACAGTGTCTTTGAGGGGACTGACGGGCATGAGGCTGCAGTGATCTTGCGCAAGGTCATCTCGATGCTAAACGACCCTGTTTGGAATGTCAAGCGGGCCGCAATCCAGTTGCTCTTGGAGCTCGGCCCACGATTCGGCCACGAGACAGTGGCGAGGCTGAACCGATTGCTCTTTCACCCTGATCCTCTGATTCAGATGATGATTGCCTGTGTGCTGAAGAATGTGAAGGGTGCCGAGGACTACTGCCAGCAAATCTGGGGTGACCGGTCCACAGCCGAAGCTGCTTTGAGTCATCAAGGACGACTTCTTGAGTTTCTCGATGCAAGCTTCAAGGGTGACCGGGAGATTGTCCTGTCGGCCGTGAAGCAGGACGGGCAAGCATTGAAGTACCTTGGGGACCACATGAACCCTAAAATTTGGGGTCATATACCCTATACTACTATAATTCCTATGAAGGTATATGAACCATAAACCCTTTTAGGGGTTCCTTTCGTCCCCAAGGTATGCGGAGCCGTGCCTGTGTGACGATGAAGGCATCGTGCTCGCTGCAGTCGCCCAGAGCGACTCAGCGGTTCACTTTGCCGGCCAGAACCTTGGCTAAAGGGTTTATGGGTCATATGCCTTAATAGGAGTTTAATTATAGTAGTACCTCAATAGGAATTCTAGTAGTATATTGTATAGGCCCCCCAGTTTTAGGGTTCATTTGGTCCCTAAGGAAGATCATTGAGAGACATGCGGGTCTCCGCGCCCTGCGTGAGGGACGAGGACGCAGCTTGTGGGGCGACTACCTGATCATGGAGCACCTCGGCAAGGGTGCCTTCGGCGAGGTCACGAAAGCCGAGAACATGAGCACCAACCAAGTCGTGGCCATTAAGAAAGTCTCGTATGACCCCAAGATATTTGGTGGGGACGGCGTGCCAGCCTTCGCAGTGCGGGAAGTGTCCTTGCTGCGCAGGTTCGAGCATCCCAACGTGGTGCGGCTGCTCGATGTGCATGTGGGCCGTGACGACGTCCGGATGGTCTTCGAGCTTCATCCGGCTGACCTCCGCATGGTCTTGAAGCAGAGTTCCGATCGCCTGTCGATTGAGCGAGTCAGACAAATACTCCGCGAATATCTTGGATGGTCTTTATGCGTGCCACACCAACCAACTTCTTCACCGCGACATTAAGCCTCAGAACATTCTCCTCAGCGCCGAAGGCGTCCTCAAGATAGCAGACTTTGGCATGGCACGTGCGAGCAATCAGCAACCGTTGACACTGGACGTGGTGACGCTTTGGTACAGGAGTCCAGAACTCCTCCTTGGTGCAACTCGCTATGGATTTGAACTGGACTGCTGGTCAGCAGGCTGTGTGATCGCAGAGATGTCCACCGGGCACCCGTTGTTCCCAGGAGACTCTCAAGTTGGGACTTTGTTTCAGATCTTTCAGCTGCTGGGAACGCCGTCATGTACGAACTGGCCAGAGGGTACGCAGCTCTGCCGTTTCAAAGACATGTTTCCACAATGGCCGCCGACAGGACTTAAACCCATTCTCGACGTGCGACCAGAGCTTTGCACTCATGAAGGGCATGAACTCCTCAGCGGCCTGCTTTGCCTGCAGCCTGACCGACGTCTGTCATCAAGACAGGCACGCCGGCATCAATTCTGCAGGCAAGATTGATTCTATGAGACTGGGCAGCTTGTGCCAGCCTCCCAGATGGTGCGTGAGTTAGGCTTACTTGCGGAGTTTTACGGAGTTGTTGCGGTTTAGGATGTTTAGGCTGATCGGGATGTTTAGGCTGTTTAGGGTGTTTGGGGATGCTGTGGCTTTGGACCGACGCCTCATGGGGATGCTGTTCAGTGCTGCTTGGAGAAGCGTGTACTGTCCCAGCTCAACCTTTCCAATAAGTTTCGAGTCTTGGGTGCCTTATATACTCGTTTTCCAGCGCACCTGGAAATTTTTGTTTCTCATGGCCACAGCGACACCTCGGAGGAGTTTTAAAAACGAGGTGAAGGCAAAGGCCCTACCTCCGCGGCAGGTCCCAGGCGAGCTTGCAGAAGCCGGCGAGGAGTACTTGAGGGGTGCTTTGATCCCCCTGTGGTGCTTTACTGTAACTTTAGATCCTTAGCCTTTTTGGGTTTATTGGGTTTCTTGATAAGGCAGCTAAAAATTAGTTTTATAGCTACCTAGCTAAGTGCAGCCAAGATCCTGCGCAGAAGGCTAAACTCTAAACCACTCAACCCGTTCTACCTTCCAGCCTGCGGAATGCATGCCCTTTGCCAAGGGCGGGTTCTCTTTGTGTGTCCACCCACCTCTCTGTTGGTTTCTGCAGAGCTTCCCTGCAGTTACTGTCGGACTCGTCATGTGAGCAGTGTTTTTGTTACAGCTGTCACGTGGGAGTTCGTATGCAAGTCAGATTCTTAGAGGTCGGCTGAGTAGCAACTTATCTCTGTAGCACGTAGGTTAGCGTAGGCAGAGCCATGCCCACTTCGTATAGGCGCGTGCGCCGAGTAGAAGGTCGACGGGTTTAGGGTTTAGGGTTTAGGGTTTAGGGTTTAGGGTTTAGGGTTTAGGGTTTAGGGTTTAGGGTTTAGGGTTTAGGGTTTATATAGGGTTTAGGGTTTAGGGTTTAGGGTTTAGGGTTTAGGGTTTAGGGTGTTTTAGGGTTTAGGGTTACTCAAACAATGAAGAAACTCTGCTCACATTGCCAACGTGACAATCGTTCACAATCCTGGGACGCACTGTTCGATGCAAAAGGCTTGAGAGTTTCCACAGCAGCACGGAGACAACTATCCTCACATGTGGACGTTTAGGGTTTAACCCTAAAGCCTAAACCCTAAACCCTAAACCCTAAACCCTAAATGACTTATGGTTTTTAAGGCGCAACGAACCGTCTGCGATCCCTGCTTGCGCCTCGGATTTGAGTCTGCCCCGACCGGTTTTGCTAGGCGGCAGCTGCCTTCAACGGAGCTTCAGCTTTTTGGGTGTAGGGTTTTAGGGCTTGGGGCTTGGGGCTTAGGGCTTTGGGCTTTGGGCTTTGGGCTTAGGGTTTAGGGCTTAGGGCTTTGGGCTTTGGGCTTAGGGTTAAGGGCTTAGGGCTTAGGGCTTAGGGCTGGCTTAGGGCTTAGGGCTTAGGGCTTGGGTGTAGGGTTTGATTCCGCCTTCGTCAGTCTAATGGGCCCTTGGGACATAGGGATTCTAGGCAGGGTAGGTTTAAGGTTTATGGGGGGCTCTAGGTAGGTTTCGGGTTTGGGGTTGAGAGGGATTTTAGGTAGGCCCTTGGGACATTTAATATTTTCCCCTTAGTGGGGTTGAAGAGGATCATCTTCAGGAATGTTCAGAGCGTTTAAGGGGCCAACCTAGAGTAGCTAGAGCTAGGAAAAATAGCACTGCATTGGAATATGTCGGGAGGGTTATCAAAAACCTACATGCCCTTTAAAAGCATGTCCCTGCGGAGTGGCGACCGAGTCAGCCAGGACGGCACTAGCATGAACATGATAAGCTTGTGGTATCTGTTCAGTTCATGGATGCTTATAAAGTCGAAGCTGGCTTACAAGCTTGCTCAACTAGAAAGAAGGTTTGGGCAGATGTTCCGCTAGAGCTGCGCAGAGAGCTCAAGAACTCAATGACTGCTGAAGTGCAGACAGACACAAGGGGCCCCAAAATTCAAATAAACATTGTTGGGGCCCCTAAGACACGAGCATTAGGGCATGAGAGAGCCTGAGGCCATGTCGAAAACGGCCCGCTGGGTTTTGGGCTCTGGGTTTTTGGGGTTGTAGGGTTTAGGGTTTAATTAGGGTTTAGGGTTTAGGGTTTAGGGTTTAGGGCCCAATGTCACTAGATCGACTCCGTTTATTCTGACGCTTGGACTGGATGTTTATACGAAAATGGGTTGAGGTTTGAGGGTAGGATTCTCCAATAAGCTGTAGGAATGTGCATGGAGTTTAGTGGCCAGCTTCGGGGCTGAGCATCCTGCGCATGTGCTTCAGCCTGTCTTAAGATGAACTGTTGTTACTTCGTTTTGATTTCCAGTCATTCTAACCCTAGACCCTAACCATAAAAGCCTAAACCCTAAACCCTAAACCCCAAACTCTAAACCGCAAAAGCCCAAACCTTCGTATTGCACCCTAAGCCCCAAATATCCTTTTGTGGACCATATTGAATACAGCAAGCTCCAAAAAGTTGGAACATCCTTATCCCCATACCCCAAAAGGCATACAAGAGGGAATCCAAGTTCAAATCATCCCCCTAAACCCCAAGCCCGAAACCCTAAACCCTAAACCCTAAACCCTAAACCCTAAACCCTAAACCCTAAACCCTAAACCCTATGGGGCTTAGAGTGGCCCTTTCTGCAGGCATGCCGGCGCCTGCCCTGTCCTGCCGGCAGCCTCCTGCACTTCCGTCTGCTTTTATTGGGAAGGTGATGGCGGCTGGGTTTTTTTGGGTAGTACGGTTTAGGGTTTAGGGTTTAGGGTTTAGGGTTTAGGGTTTAGGGTTTAGGGTTTAGGGTTTAGGGTTTAGGGTTTAGGGTTTAGGGTTTAGGGTTTAGGGTTTAGGGTTTAGGGTTTGGGGCTGGGTGGTGTTTCAGCTTTCGGGGTCAGGAGCGCTTGGCTGAGCGACGTAGACCGCTGCGCAGGCCGCAGTACCACGTCTCTGTGACCTGTGCTAGGCATCGCCGGCTTATCTCATCCCATGGGTGTTCCCGTACTCCCCGCCTCCATGCTTCCTCCCCCGGCCCCAGGGTTTAGGGTTTAGGGTTTAGGGTTTAGGGTTTAGGGTTTAGGGTTTAGGGTTTAGGGTTTAGGGCTACTTTTCGTGGGTTCCCCCATAGTTACGGCCATTTAGGGCTAATTCAGCCTAATTGGGGAACCTAGGGGTAGTAATCGAGAAGTATAGACGGGGGGTAGTAGGGGAACCCATGGTCATCCCACCCCCTTGTGTGTCCCCTAAACTCTAAGCTCTAAACCCTAAACCCTAAAACCTAAACCCTAAACCCTAAACCCTAAAACCCTAAACCCAAAGAGGATGAGGCCCCAAGTCCGAGACCATCTCCACTCCTCAACACCTAATCCCAATATGCAGCCTCTAAAAGTCTCAAAGTTTTACCTATTGGGGTTAGCCATCCCTGAAGCCTGAACCCTAAACCCTAAACCCTAAACCCTAAACCCTAAACCCTAAACCCCAAACCCCAAACCCCAAACCCCAAACCCCAAACCCCAAACCCCAAACCCCAAACCCCAAACCCCAAACCCCAAACCCCAAAACATACAGATCCCAACCTCCGAGCCCCAGGTTGTGGGATTCGCGTGTCATCCACCAGGGCTGGCGCGGGGGTCCACGTCTGGCACAACCCGTGGCTGGTCTGCAGTTTACGGGGGGTTGGGGTTTAGGATTTAGGGTTTAGGGTTTGGGGTTTAGGGGTTTAGGCGCTTTAGGGGTTTTAGGGGTTTTTAGGGGTTTTTAGGGGTATTTTGGGTTTTTTTGGGGGTTTTAGGGGTTTTTAGGGGTTTTAGTGGTTTAAGGGTTTTGGGGGTTTAGGGGCTTTAGGGGTTTAGGGGTTCTAGGGGTTCTAGGGATTTTAGGGGTTTGCGGGGTTTGAGGCGTTTAGAGGTTTAGGGGATTTAGGGGTTTTAGGGGTTTTCGGGTTTTCAGTTTAGGGTTTGGGGGTTAAGTTGTTTTAGGGGTTTAGGGGTTCAGGGGTTTAGGGGTTCAGGGGTTTAGGGGTCTAGGGGTTTCGGGGTTTTAGGGGTTTAGGGGTTCAGGGGTTTAGGGGCTTAGGGGTTTAGGTCTTTTTTGGTTTAGGTTTTTGGGGTTTTGGGGTTTTGGGGTTCAGGGTGTAGGGTTTGGGGAGCTTGGGGAGGTTAGGGTTTTTAGGCGTATTGCAATATTTTGCCTTATTTGGTTTAAGAGAAGTATCTGTGGAAATTCTTGTCAGAGCATTGTAAGGGCCGTCCTTGGTTTGGCGTTTAGATTTAGGGTTTAGGGTTTAGGGTTCAGGGTTTAGGGTTTATAGGGTTGATAGAGTTTATAGGGTTTATAGGGTTTAGAGGGTTTAGGGCCTAGGGTTCCGGTTTCGGTGGCTCAGGGCTTAGAAGTTTTGGGGTGGATCGCCCAGAAAATGGAGCTTCAACGGACTTGGGGCTCAGTGTAACTGGAATCTTGGGTTCAGGGCCCAGGCTAACTGGACTTTGTGGGGCTCGGGGGGTTTGGAAGGAAGGATGATACTTGAAAGAGGGCATGAGGACAAAGCCCCAAACACCAGAAACCCTAAACCCTAAACCCTAAACCCTAAACCCTAAACCCTAAACCTAAACCTCACACCCTTTCTGAACCGGCCTTTGGGGGTTGTATTGCGGGATGTTTGGCTCAGGGCCGCTTGGAAAGACCTTCTAAGGCCCTTATCCCGTTGTTTTTGTTTTCTTTGTGGTTTAGGTTTCCTTACAATCCTCTTTAAACCAAAACCCTAAACCCTAAACCCGAAACCCGAAACCCGAAACCCTAAACCCTAAACCCTAAACCCTAAACCCTAAAGGGGTACTCTTTTTTGACTTCCTAGGCTACTCCTGGCTCTGGACCCTAAGCTTGCTCCATGCTCTTCAACTCTAGGAACCACAAAACGTTGGGGCTTTGATGCCGAAACCCTAAACCCTAAACCCTAAACCCTAAACCCTAAACCCTAAACCCTAAACCCTAAACCCTAAACCCTAAACCCTAAACCCTAAACCCCAACCCTGAACCCTAAACCCCAAACCCTAAACCCTAAACCCCAAACCCTAAACCCCAAACCCTAAACCCTAAACCCTAAACCCTTGCGCGGTCTAGGTGTGCTGGGAGCCCCGCGAGCGCCGCAGCAAGGAGTGCTGAGGGTCAGGGGTTTAGGGGCTTGGGGTTTAGGGTTTAGGGTTTAGGGTTTAGGGTTTAGGGTTTAGGGGCTTGGGGCGCCGGGCGGTGTGGGTTCTAGGGTTCCAGGGTTCTAGGGTTCTAGGGTTCTAGGGTTCTAGGGTTCTGGGGTTCTGGGGTTCTGGGGTTCTGGGGTTCTAGGGTTCTAGGGTTCTAGGGTTGAGGGGCTTGGGTACAGCAACCCTATACACTCTAAATGCAAAACCCTGAGCTGTAACACCAAGCTCGGATGCGCTCAGGCGTGTCGCACATGGGCCTTCAGAAAAAGTAGGGGTCCCATGTTCATGCGTGTTTTATCTCAAACCCTACAAGGCTTTAGACTCATTAGACTAGAGGGGGGCCGGGGCGGGGGGCGGAGGGGGGAATGCAGCGAGTCTTTTTGGAAACTCCCCGACTACCCAAGTTCGACAAGTGCATGGCACGAGAGGGTGGGGCTTCCGCTGCACCATGTTCTGGCTTCTGGCGCTCAAAATGTTGTTGGTGTTATTGTTGTTGGTAAGATATGTTTATTGTCTTATTACTTTATTAAAATGCGCTAGTACTATGGTTTTTACTTTTGTTGCTATTACTACGTTTCTTCTTATTATTATTTTTACTATTGCCATTGTGAATACTACATATTATTATGAAACATATTAACGTATACTATCGGTAGACAAACATTCTTGCATGGCATGAAGCTGTTCAAGCCGTGCAGCAAACATCCAAATTCCAGGCTCATCCATCCCCTGACCTGAAGTCCCAACCCCACGCCCATGCAGGGCTTGGGGTTTGGGGTTTGGGGTTTGGGGTTTAGGGTTTAGGGTTTGGGGTTTAGGGTTTAGGGTTTAGGGTTTAGGGTTTGGGGCTTAGGGTTTAGGGTTTGGGGTTTAGGGTTTAGGGTTTAGGGTTCGGCTTATGTGGCTTAGTAGGGGTTATGGTAGCGTAGGGTATATGACCCCAATTTCAGGCTTCATCTGGTCCCCAAGGTAACCGTGAACCCTCAACCCTCAGCCCCCTACCCCCAACCCCCAAACCCCAAACCCCTGACCCTAAACCCTAAACCCTAAACCCTAAACCCTAAACCCTAAACCCTAAACCCTAAACCCTAAACCCTAAACCCTAAACCCTAAACCCTAAACCCTAAACCCCCTAAACCCTAAACCCTAAACCCTAAACCCTAAACCCTAAACCCTAAACCCTAAACCCTAAACCCTAAACCCTAAACCCTAAACCCTAAACCCTAAACCCTAAACCCTAAACCCAACCCCTACACCCTAAGCCCTCAACCCGAAACCACAAGGAGGCTCTGAGAAGGAAGATTTGGATGTGCGCCGCCGGCGTGCCCTCCTCTCACTCCAGTGCAGAGGGCCGCGTCCACGCCATGCTGAAGCAGGCCCTTTTGGGACTTTGGCTTCAGGGGGTTTAGGGTTTAGGGTTTAGGGTTTAGGGTTTAGGGTTTAGGGTTTAGGGCTTAGGGTTCAGCATCTCAAGTCCAGGCATTCGCTGGTCAAGCAGTGTGTTTGTGATCGCAAATATACCCACCTAGGCCAAGAATCCCACAATATGAAGAGGTTTAAGAGGTACGGGTCGAGGGTAGTCTGGCCAATGGTATCTTTTTTCTTGTGTAGGAGGTTAGGGCAGGAAGCCAGGTATACTCTGTAGTACACAATGCGCCCCGAGAGAAGTACAGAGAGTCAGTAAGAACGCCACTAGGGTTCCCTAGGGTCACCCGAACCTAAACCCTAAACCTCGTAAGGCATCCCACCCTTCGTTATCCGCGAAACCAAGTCCACCTGGTGTCCGTTCAGAAACCTTATTAGCCGAAGCCAGACACGAAACCCCAAACCCTATTTCACAAGCCGCGAACCTAAACAAAACCCCAATCATCCCACGCCCTACAGACCGAAGAAGCCCAAAACCCTCAACCCGAATCCCTACACCAGGTTCCTGCTTGGGCAGACTCCTTATGCTGAACCAACCGAAATCTTTCTTCCACCCGGAACCTGAACCCCCAAAAACCCCTATAAACCCCTATGGCTCCCCCTTTTCAACCCATGAAACAGTCGCATTGACGCCCATAGCACCCCATTGAAGCACTCTTAAAACCATACAACGCCCGACAAAAGCCCATCCCTCAGCCTCAACATAGCCCAAAATGACCTTGCAGAAGAAGGCCATTTGGGGCCCGAAAACCCTAGAATAAGAGTCCTTAGAGCCTTAGGGTAAACCTTAAGAACCCAAAACCTACCGTCTTTGCAGGATCCCCAAGAATCCTTTGAGGTGTTTTTTTATAACAAGAATCAAAAAGCAGAGGTAGGTATTGGGTGATTAAACCCTAAACCCTAAACCCTAAACACTAAACCCTAAACCCTAAACCCTAAACCCTAACAAGGTTTTTTTTGGGGTTGGCCTCCTCGAAAGGCGCCGGCGCCATCCCCGTGGTCAGAAGGCTGGCCCTCCCTCAGGGCCAGCGTCGTCCCCTATGGCCCCCAGTCATGGGGTTAGGGGATTTGAGGGGTTTGGGGGGGGTTTGGGGGGTTTAGGGTTTAGGGTTTAGGGTTAGGGTTTAGGGTTTGGGGTTTGGGGTTTCGGGTTTAAGGTTTAGGGTTTAGGGCTAGGGGATTAGGGGCTTGGGGGGTTTCGGTTTGTGGGGGTCGAGGGAGTTTAGGGTTGATGGTTTCGGGTCTAGCTCAGGTCAAGCCCCGAGCCCTAAACCCTGAACCCTAACCCCTAACCCCTAAACCCCTAACCCCTAAACCCCTAACCCCTTAACCCTAAACCCTAAACCCTAAACCCGAAACCCCAAACCCCAAACCCCAAACCCTAAACCCTAAACCCTAAACCCTAAACCTTACAGAAACTGAGGCGTCCAGCTGGGCAAAGAAGCAGACTGGCAGCAATCGCAGGCCTCGCTGTGGATGACGGACGCTGGGCTCCTTGGGGGGGGGGGGGGGGGGGGGGGGGGGTTTGGGGTGTAGGGTTTGAGGTTTAGGGTTTGGGGTTTGGGGTTTGGGGGTTTAGGGTAAGAACCCTGTAACTTTAGAGCTTGAATATTGATTTTTCAGGAGGGGCGAGGAGCACCTCCTTGGAGGTTCCTGGGAACTTACAATCCCGTTTGTCAGTCTACTTATAATGTTTAGGGTTTAGGGTTTAGGGTTCAGGGTTTAGGGTTTAGGGTTTAGGGTTCAGGGTTTGTTATCTACTTAGAGGACTAAAGGGACTTAGGGGGCTTATATAAGTACCCTGGACCTCCAAGTACTGTCGCGCTTGCCATGAGTCGGCGGCGCCTTTCCTTTTACCGCTATCCTTGTTACAACATTGTTAAACAGTCCTACTATGAGGGGGGGTAAGTCTGCAGTTTTATGTGTACGGCCGGTTTTCATGGAAGCCGAAATACTACACCTCCAAAACCACAGCCAGCAGAACCCTCAAGGCCTCTAAAACCCTAACACCCTCAAGAACCCAAAACCTTCTTTGCAGGTTACCCAAGCATCCTATAAGACTATAAGGGTGTCTAGATTGTGGGATCGTAAGGTGGACCCTCTATCCGAGCCCCGAGTCCACTGAGGACAACCCGAGCCGCCAAGCGGAACGGGCAAACGTGGCAGATGCTTGGACAGCAGTTGCCCCAAAAATCTAAACCCTAAACCCTAAACCCTAAACCCTAAAACCCTAAAGCCCTAAAACCCCTACTGTCATCCTCCGAGCTTCCTTGAGAACCCCAAACCCTACCTTTTGTGTAGGCTCTTGCTATCGAGACCCAGTAAAGGATTCTTGGATAACCTGCAAAAAACCCTAAACCCTAAACCTGAAACCCGAAACCAGTTCTTGCGGTTTACCCTAAGGCTCTAAGGACTCTGATTCTGGGGCTTGGGGGCCCAAAGGCCTTGGTGTGTAAGGCCTTTTGGGGCCCCAAAGCCCTAGCATAAGAGTCCTTCGAGCCTTGGGGTGCACCACCTCTCCCGCATGCTATGTAGCAATGGCTTGATGAACGCATTACATTCTTAAGGGTACTTAAACTCAATAAAGAATAGAAAACCATCTTTCATACTACCACCTGGAGAGGGGGGGCTAAGGTCAGGTACGATAGGCTTTATTTAGGCGGCGTGATGGCTGCCGAGCTTGGTTCGAGCTGCTTGGCTATCGGACTCCACGAGTAGTCAAGATGTTGAGGTTGAATGTGCACCTTGTGTGTCAGTTGAGTCGGAGACCCTAAACCCTAAACCCTAAACCTTAAACCCTAAACCCTAAACCCTAAACCCTAAGCCCTAAGCCCTAAGCCCTAAACCCTAAACCCTAAACCGCAAGTGAGTGTGGATCTACCGAGGACATTCTGCCCTTGCTACGTGAGGAGGTTGTAGCTGCGCTGTGAGGCTGGCAGGCGCGGACAAGTAGATTAACATCATCGTCCTCAGCAGCTAGGACGACTCCATGTTGTACAGATTATGCCTGCGAGAATGCAGAAGTTGTACAGCTTTGGGAACCAAGCTTCAGCTTTTGGCAGGAAACAGTGCAGTATGCAGCGACTTGTCCATGGCCTAGAGTTTAGGGTTTATGGTTTAGGGTTTTAGGGTTTAGGGTGGGTATCCGGGTTCAGAAGCCTGTGTGTTCACGAGAGGCACGTGTTTTTGCTGGACCGCGCTCAGCCCGAACCATCGTACGCAGAAAAGCACCAGCAGAAAAGCACCACTAGCTAAAGCACAAACCAAGACACAAGCGCCAAGAGGCGCAGCCTGCTCCAGGAAGCTAAGTCGGGAGGTGTACGGAATTAGGGGCACCTTTTTGGGGGTCTGCTTTAGGGGTCCACTACATCGTTCATCAGCCCGCACGAAGTAGGGCCGGGCTTCGGACCCTGCAAGATCTAAACCACGCCAAATCCCTAAGCTCACCCCTTAAAACCCTGTATGAACGCTCTGCAGTTACTAACAGTCCTTAGTCGGGATTATCACAGGTACTTTAATCCCTATTAAGGACTGTTAGATAAGGGGGCACATCCCGATAGACTCTACAATAAACTCCCACAAGTTGGAACGTCATTCTCCTCATACCCCAAGAGGGTTACTAAACGGAGTCCCAGCACTAATCGCCCTTAAACCATGTTATGGAGTTTGCTCTAAATGCGGTTGAGATCATCTGGAAACCAAGATAGCGCCAGACTCCAAAACCAAAAGACATCCATCCAAGCCCCCAAGCACCTCAACCCCTAAGACCTAGACCCAAAAAACCCATGATCACTAGATCCTAACCCTAAACCCCCCTCCTCAACCCTAAGCCCTAAACCCTAAACCCCTAAACCCCTCAACATGCAACCCTCAGCTCCCAACCAAGCAAAAAAGTTGAGGCCCGACGTGCTCTTTGAGGCGGTGAAGCCGCAGGTTGTAATGGTCACCAGCCCGGCCCTCACCTGTGGGGTTTCGGGCTTAGGGCTTATGGGCTCATGGGCTCATGGCTCAGGGCTTAGGGCTTAGGGCTTAGGGCTTAGGGCTTAGGGCTTAGGGCTTAGGGCTTAGGGCTTAGGGCTTAGGGCAGACAGGGTGTGCAAGCCCAAATTTCCAAAGCCCCACAGCCCGAAAACAACCCATGAAAACAACCCATAACAAGCCTTGAAACAAAACAATCTTTAAGCAACAGGACTCTGCCCCCTAACTTCAAAAGTCAACTACGAAAGCCCGAAACCCTAAACCCTACAAACTAAACCCTAAACCCTAAGCCCTAAACCCTAAACCCTAAACCCTAAACCCTAAACCTTGCAGCCAAGAAACAGGTCCCAACGCCGACTTCGGGGACAGCAGCGATTCCGAGGGCGAGGCCTTCGGGCTTCGGGCTTGGGGCTTCAGTACCCTGCACCTTGGGGTTTAGGGTTTAGGGTTTAGGGTGTAGGGTTTAGGGTTTAGGGTTTAGGGCTACCTAAGAGTATGATATTCAAGCATAATATAGCAACATCCTATAACTTAGGAGGGTTTTGGAGGCTCTTGAGGTCCGGGGTTTTGAGTCATCATAGGGCTTGGGGTTTGGGTTGGAGGGGTATAGAGTCTAACCCTTGAGTGCACTGACTTGTTTCGGGGTTTGGGTAGAATGTCAGTTTTTTGCAAGTTCAGCTCTCAAGCCAGCAGTGCAGTCAACAGGTCAGGGTCAGCTGGGTCTCGCATGTCATACGTAGTACCAGGCAGTTTTCAAGACCCATCGAATGGTCACTGAACGTCATGCGCGTGTTTTTCACGCACAGGCCATGTGACCCCAAATGCTTGTCTGCAGGGTTGTTGCAATGCTCATGGTTTCTAATCCCAGCATGTCACAGATGTGCTTACAGGTGCCTTCGGTGCCAGATCTCGTCCAGTTGCGACAGAGCTCTACTGAGCCATCCCCTCCAAACCCAAACCCTAAACCCTAAACCCTGAACCCTGAACCCTGAACCCTGAACCCTGAACCCTAAACCCTAAACCCTAAACCCTAAACCCTAAACCCTAAACCCTAAACCCCAAACCAAGCTCCAAGCATGCCAATCCGAGCTGGTACAGCCAGCGCCCTAAACAGAACCCAAGGTCTCAGACGCAAGCCATGACTGCCCCCACACACCCCCCCCCCCCCCTGGTTGCCAAAAACTAGGCCCTTTCGTAGCCACCTTCTTGAAAGGGGTTCGGTAGGACATCCGATCAAGCCTAAACCCTAAACCCTAAACCCCAAACCGCAAACCCCAAACCCCAAACCCTAAACCCTAAACCCGGAATTCGAACAACCCTGCAGGACCCCGCGCCATCCGCACCCCGGCTCTTCCGGCACGCTGACCACGAGCGGGAGTGGACTCGACTCGAGTTTCGCGAGTGGGCGGAGGCGGTGAGCGAGAAGCACGGCTGCTTTGCGCAGAAGTAGTTGTTTGCATCTGGGTAGTTCTCTAAATTAGGGTGCCTTTTTGGGTACCGATCATAAGGCGGCACCCTTTAAAAAGGACCCCCCAAAAAGGGACCCTAATTTAGAGAACTACCCATGTGAGTTGTGCCTAGGAACCCGAGTGGGCCCTTAGACCCTATTGAGGCACTGGTATGGTATCGGTTTCGGCACGCCTTCTATTCCTGAGCGACTAGGATTTCGGGTCTAGCATTGAGCCGAAGCCCAAAAAATAGTTCAAAGAACGGACAACAGTAGCAACCTCTTGTTCGGGCGCCCAGGTTGAGGGGTTCAGGGTTTCGCCGCCTCAGGCCGACATCTAGTTCAAGACCTCAAACCATAAACCCTAGACCCAAAACTCCTCAAGCGCTTCAACCCTAAAACTCTGCAACCCCTTAAACCCTTAAAAACCCTTAAACCCCTTGAACCCTTAAACCCTCAAAAGCCCTACTCCTCCCGCCCCCCCCCAAATGAACCTCCAAACTCCCTACACCTTAAACCCGAAACCCTAAACCCTAAACCCCAAAACCCTAAACCCTAAACCCCTAACCCCTAAACCCTAAACCCTAAACCCGCAACCCGAAACCCTAAACCCGAACCCCCTCCCAAAACGAAGCCCAGGTTACTGGATCTCGGAGCTGGGTGGTGTGGGCCACCTCCCCGACCTCGAAGCACAAGGTGACAGCTCCTCTGAAACCCATACCAAAACCCTAAACACTAAACACTCAACCCTACGTCACCAAGCCGGACTCCACCACAATCAATCGCTGGCCTAGACCCTAAACCCGAAACCCTAAACCCTAATCCCAGCCCCGAAATCCTGAACCTAGGGCGGGGGGGGGGGGGGGTGGGCGCGGGGCTCGGAGTTAGGGTTTGGGGTTGAGGGGTTTAGGGCTCGAGGAGGGTGTTTAGATGTTTAGGGTTGAGGGCTTTTCTGGGATGGACAAAGACCGAAGACTAAGTTCAACCGAGCCCGTTTAGGGTTTAGGGTTTAGGGTTTAGGGTTTAGGGTTTAGGGCTTAGGGTTTCTTCACCGGTTTGGGCTAGGGTGTTTTGGCTTTCTTGCGGAAGTTAGCCGTCCGAAAAGGACCTCCCTCAGTGCTCCCAAGCGCCTGTCTGCAAGGCGCCTTTGTATAAACCCTAAAACCCTAAACTCTAAACCCTAAACCCGAAACCCTTGTCTCAGGACGCGTCTTTTGTGTGCTTTCTCTGCCTTCCGGAGCACAGTAAACCCAAACAAAACCATAAGCCCTACAAGTAAGCCTGACAAACTCCATATTGCCTTATAAACCCTAAAGCCATCATAGATAGCTTGAAGCTTACAAACTCCATGTTGTCTTGTAGACTCTAAACCCTAAATCTTAAACCCTTAGCCCTAAACCCTAAACCCTAAGCCCTAAACCCTAAACCATCCCCACGCCTAACTAATGTATAACGGGGGGGGGTGTACTTAGGGGGAAAATTGGGCCACCACGGCAAAAATCTATAACGGGGGGGATCGGTATAGTGAGGTCTGAGGTGCCGACATTGCATGGATTCAAGCTGTGACATTGCCCGGCCGAATTCATGTTACGACTGGGAGGTACATGCCTAGCTTGGTGGTTGGTGGGTAGATACGGGGCAACACGAGCAGACAGTCTCATTGGATCTCAGCTCCAGGCTCCAGGCCTTGGTCTCTTGAGGTACATCCCCAACATTGTAATAGGGAGGCGGGGAATGTATGGGGGGGGGGGGTTCCGTCATACATTCTGCGGCTCCCGATGCAGCTCCATGAATTCTAAGAGGCAGCCCCTGGATTTCTAGGAAATTACGGAATGTAAAGGGGAGGGGGGGGGGGGGGCTTACATTTCTCAGATCCCCGCAGCAGGCCACGTCCCAGCACGTCCCCAAGAAACTTCTCATAGAGATTCACACTTTGCCACCAACTCTTTTGCCAACTCAGGCATCGTAGCTCGTCGTTCCGTTATCAGGTGCTCTTCCCAACTCACGCCTGAAAGGCCCATGGGGGGATCGGCTTTTTCTGTGATTACAAGCGACCGAAGAGCACGATCACATGTCATTAGGGTCCGTTATGCATTTCTCCTGGCCTGTTAAACCCAGGAAATTAATGTACAACGGGGGGGGGGGGGGGCGTCGTAAGTAGGAGTTCGGCGTAGGTATCCTAAACCCTAAACCCTGAACCCTGAACCCTGAACCCTAAACCCTAAACCCTAAACCCTAAACCCTGAACCCTAAACCCTAAACCCTAAGCCAGCATAGATCAACTCTGGGAGGCCCCTGCACCCAGCTTGTGGTCTTCGAGCGTAAGGATGTGGAGGTTGGGAGCGAAACCCGAATGTGTACTGTTTAGGGTTCACTGTTTAGGGTTTAGGGTTTAGGGCTAGGGTTTAGGGTTTCGTGGTTCCGAGTAGGGAATGCATCCCCGAATCTTTACCCTGGATGATAGTAGGGTACTGCGTAGTGCTTAAGCTAGCTAAGCCCCCTCAACCCTAAACCGCCAGCGACTTGGCACAGTCCAGGCAGTTCAGGGTTTACAGGGTTGTCGGCCTTCCGGCACTTCCCTCCTTCTTCTAGACCTTCCAATAAACACGGTGAAGGAGACGGGGATGCAGGAGGAAGAGTGCGCCTCCTTTGCGGGCATGGAGTCGCAGGCGGACCGCAAGTGGCCTGGGGTTTTCTGTTGCGGATTACAGGGTTTAGGCCTGGTAGGTTTCTAGATGATGGCCCGGTTATTTGGAAGTTCATGGTACTTGAATTTACCAATGGTAGCTGTGCTCATAACCCACTTATAAGCCCCCTTGAGTACCCTGATGTGGTGATAAGTACAGTTATTATAAGTACAGTTATCACTGGTTAAAAAGTACCATGAACCTCCAAGAAGGGAGACACCAACTACACCCTCAGGAGGTTCGACTCAGTGTTCTGGCTGCCTTGGTTTGTCGGTGGTTTTCGTGAGCTGGATACGGCCTGAAGGGGATCGTAGCAGTTCTGACCGAAGCCAGGTCTACATCACACTTCACAACTAGCCATGACAGAAATTTAGTGTTTAGGGTTTAGGGTTTTTGGTTCGTTTTTGTTTACATTCATCTCGAGCCCAAAGCCGCCCCATTATGTAAGGTTGGAACCATGTGCCATTGGTATGGTCCCTTGCCCTTGTTTACAGGGACTTAAACGGGATGCGAAGTATGAACCCTTATTCTGTATAGTGTGTATATGGGTTATACAACAAGGAACCCACATCAGGGGCCCATACTTCGGATCCCCTAATTATCAGTCCCGAATAGGGATTGTCGTTTGGAGGTACTACTTGGAGGTTCATGGTACTCATGCCCAACTAACGTTGTATTTATAACTGTACTCATAACCATATGAGGGCTTACTAGCGGGTCGTAAGTACAGTTATGATTCGTTAATAAGTACCACGGACCTCTAAGTACTAAGGACTGCTAGTATAAGGAGGACATCCCAACCCGAATCCCTAAACCCCTCCGCTCCACCAGGTGGACTTCAACGAAGTCCGCGAGCAGTCGGCGCGCTCCGAGGAGCTCGCTGGCGCCCCCGACTGCACATCTGAAGGTTTAGGGTTAGGGTTTAGAGTTTAGAGTTGGCTTGAGGTTTAAAGGCGGTTGTGGCGTTTAGAGAAAGGTACCTAGAGCTCCAAGTTGCGAAAGCAGAGGCCTGTGTTTTTGTACATCCTAAACCCGAAAGCCCCAACCCCCAAATCCACAGCTCTACGACCACCTCTATACATCCTCAGCTGTAGACTCTGACCCCTACCTCTGTCGGGTTCAGGGCTCAGCATTCAGGTCTAGGGAGCACCCTAAAACCCAACCCCTAGTGCCGGCTGAGTCTCCCAGACTCCCCTGAGCTCCGACTGCCCACCCAAACCCTCCCCCATAGACAAGCTTGGGGCTCAAGGTTTGTAAGGGTTCGGGGTTGTAAGGGTAAAGGGTTAAGGGTTTAGGGTTTAGGGTTTAGGGTTTACGGTTTAGGGTTTAGGTTTAGTGTTTGGGGTTTAGGGTTTAGGGTTTAAGGTTTATCGAAGCCCCACAACCTAGTTATAGAACCACCCTCAATCCAGAATACCTTCAAAGTACCCAATTTTTTTCAACCCACAAACCCCCAAACACCCCAAACCCCAAAACCCTAACCCCCAAATCCAAAGCCCTGAAAGCCCTAAACCCCCTCCTAAGCAGCTCGTCCGAGGCTCTGGCAGTGGACTCTGGAAGCTGGTGCTTCGGGAGGGGGAGGGAGATCCTGCTCCGAAGAACTCCCGAGACCCCTGGCGGCAGGTTCAGGGTTTAGGGTTTAGGGTTTATTACTTTGACCATAAGTATAGACCCTAAACCTCAAACCGACGCGAAGCCCTCAAGCCTCACTGTCGCTAAACCTCGCGAGGTGAACCTGCACTACTCCACATACCTGGCAGATGGCAGGCGCCCTAGGGTTCGGGAGGCCCATAAGCCTGTGAACCCAAAACCCTAAACCCTAAACCCGACACCCGGAAGCCTCAGGCCCTTATAAAATGGCAATGATGAACCGAAGCCCAGACACCTTATAACCCCCAAAGCTTTCTAGCCACTTTGGAGCTCGTAAACCTTATCACCCCTGTATATAAGTCATTCATAACCCTCATAACCCTAAGCCCAAAGTCCCTGTAAGTCCCGCAAACCTTACCCTATAAGTCCAGAACATACTGGCTTCTAGGAGGGAAGGAAGGAAGCACCTTTAAGGGGCAAGGGGAGAGCTCCTAGAAGGGACCCGTATATAGTCCCGAAAACAGCCTAAGTAGGCCCCAAAATATCCCCTGAAATACCCGTAGGGTCCCTGAAAAAGGGTGCCTCCTATAGTCCCTTGATACCTAACGTACCGCCCCCTTATATTCACTATACGCAATAAGGGCCCAAACTTCGGATCCCCTTTAAATCCATTTAAAGAAGGGTAAGGGACCACACTAAGGGCCCATGGCTCCAACCTTAGATTTCATCCTAAACCCTAAACCCTGAACCCAAAAACCCTAAAACGTAAACCCTAAAGCCTAAACCCTAAACCCTGAACCCTAAACCCTAAGCCCTAAGCCCTAAACCCTAAACCCTGAGAGGCGCGTGGACACCAGCCGCGAGGGCAAGAGATCGATGCCCTGTGCCTTCCAGCTCGGCCGACAGGATCAGGCCGACTCCCCGAAGCCCGAACCCTGAAACCCTAAACCCTAAGCCCTAAGCTCTGAACCCAAGCCAAGAGGGGGTTTACAACAATAAGAATATGGGTACCTTATTGGGTTCCTTGTTATAAGGGAACCCCTATATTCGTGAATTGTCACCGCCAGGGGGTGGAGGCGTGGCATCTGGCCGCCGAGACCATGCGCTGTGGCGAGGCGGCTGGGGGATCGGAACAAAAACTCAAGAAGGTAGACCTTACAGACCTGAACCTACACCCGTTATGTGGAGCCCCCTTCCCCCTCCACCAAAAGCAGCCCTACTTGGGAGGTTTCGACATGCCCTGAACCCTAAACCCTAAACCCTCAATCCAAATCCTAGAATCCCTAGACATGAAAAATACCCACGATCCTAAACCCTAAAGCCTGAACCCTGAACCCACAACCTAACATCCCCAGATTTCTCTAAAACCCTAGATCCCTCCCCTGGACCCTATTCCCTAAAACCGTCAACCCCAAAAACCCCAGAACCCTAAACCCCTAAACCCTAAAACCCCTAGAACCCCAAAACCACAAAAACCCTAAGCCCTAAACGCCTCCCTCGCCCCCGCAGGTGGCGTGGGTCCAGAGCCCCTCGCGGTATGCGTACGGAAGCCGAGGGGCCCGCACCCCAAGGGGTTGATGTGTGTTATGGATGGTTTAGGGTTTAAGGTTTCGGGTCTAGGGTTTAGGGTTCAGGGTTTGGGGTTTAGAGAGTAGGTTTTAGAGATTAGGTTTCCAATGGAAGGGTTCATTGTTCTCGGTTTGGAGTTTGGGGCCGGGTGTTGACGGTTTAGAGGAGTAGAGGCTGAGGGATTCTCGGCTCAGGTTTTAGTGTTTTTAATGCTCAAGAAGTGGAGTTTACTTCGGGTGCAATGTAGCTTCAAGCGGGAGGGTTGTTTAGGGTTTAGGGTTTAGGGTTTAGGGTTTAGGGTTTAGGGTTTAGGGTTTAGGGTTTAGGGTTTAGGGTTTAGGAAGTCGAAAAGGATTCGGGTTCAGGCCATGGAGCTTGGGGGTGCTTCTTGCCTAGAGGTTGGAGGTGGTGGAGTGCACAAAACTCTTGCAGCAGCGCGCCACAAGAGTTAGGGGATCAGGCTTTAGGGTTTAGGGTGTAGGGTTTAGGGTTTAGGTTTAGGGTTTAGGGTTTAGGTTTAGGGTGTAGGGTTTTCCCCCCTGTTTTGCGGTCGCCGCCCTCCTCTTGAATGCACGGGGGGCTCACTGTGGGGACGACATGAACCTTGAAATTGGGATGGCATACCCCATGCGAGCATGATCTTGTTTCAGGCAGATGAAGCCATAAAACTCACCTTTTTGAGGGTTCACTCTAGGCTCTAGGCCTCCCTGACAAAGGACAAAGGGACCCCTGCTTTTGCAATGCCATACTGAGCCATCGCCTGGACCCAGTAAAGACGCAGCCGAAACCCTACCTGGGTCCCAAATTGCATACCAACTACTTCGGTGGCTGGTTCCCTGTACAATTGTTTGTCAGGGTTCGGGGCCCGAAGCCAAAAACCACGGGCAGCGCTCTTGTATGAGGCGTAGAAGGCAGCGGTATATCGTGGGGTACTACTGATTCTACAAGAGGTGTATGGGGGGAAACCTCAGCCTCAGAAACAATAAAGCCCGAACCCGAATTAAAAAACCCTAAACCCGATAAACCCCAAGCCCTAAACCCTATACAGCCTTCCCCTGAGGCCCAAAATAGTCCAAAAGCCTCAAATGATATGGCCTGTGGGCCCCAAAACCCTTAAATAAGAGTCCTTTGAACCCTAAACCCTAAACCCTAGACCCTAGACCCTAAGCCCTAAACCCTAAGCCCTGAATCAGAAAGAGGCGCCTCCGCACATCCCCGCGGGCGCGGAAGTCTGGTTCTGCCTGGAGTTGACCAGCGTCAGACCGCCCTGTACCGTGAAGCGCCTGGGCGTCTGTTTAGGGGCTTCAGGGTTGGGGTTTTCGGGTTTAGGGGTTTAGGGTTTAATTGGGGTTATAGGGGGGGTCTTTTGGGGATGTAGGGTTGTAGGGTTGTAGGGTTTGGGCAGGCCCAGCGTTTGGGGCTCCACCTCAAGTACACGGACCTTCAAACACAAAGCCCTGTAGGTGTACATGCCTTTGTTGGGAGAGAGGGCGGGGGGGGGGTTGGGGGAGAAGAAGAGAAGAAACGAGCATTCCTTTCACCTGAGCCTATAAGACCTCAACCCTGCACTCTAACCCTTAGCCCTAAACCTTTAGCCTCGGTCTCCTGAGCCTTATGTCATGATGGGCCCCTGGCAAGGCGTGTTTTCGCCAACTGATGCGAGTTAAATCCAACTCTCCCCAGAAATGTGCACCCCCCCCCCCAAAAAAAAAAAAAAAACAAATCTATTGAAGGCGACCTTGGCTAATCTAGAAAGCGCTAAACCCTAAACCCTAAGCCCTAAACCCTAAATAATTGTTTCAAGGGGAATCCCTTGTGGGGTGTTATGTCCGGGCCACCATGCCAGCACAGGTTCCTGAATCGTGCGGCGGATGCCCTGGAAGAAGCAGACAAGCATATGGAGGCAGAGCCGCCCCCCCCCCACCCCCCACACCTCTCCTAGAAGGGATGCCCCCGAAGAGGCTAGAAGCGCTTGTTCCCGTATTGGAATTATGTACCGCGCTGCGCTTTGGGGTGAAAAGCCCTGATGTAAAGTCCCAGAACCCTCGGCCTTTGCCCAAATTCAAGAACCCCAGTCATTATCCCCCCCTGCAGGTCGGCCCTTGCCTTATGTCCCAGAAGCCTAACTACTACCCTGAAAACCCAAAACCTTAAAACCCTAAACCCTCCCCAAAAACAACCCTAATTAGTCATCATTCCCCCTGCAGGTTGGCCGCGCGGACATCAAGCGCCAGGCCTTTGCACAGGGCCGTCAGGCCTTCCGCCGCGCGGTTGCCGCCGTGCCGGACGGGCTTTGGGGTTGTTCGGGGTTTAGGGTTTTAGGGTTTAGGGTTTAGGGCTTTTAGGGTTTAGGGTTTAGGGACTTGGGATGTTACCCCTTGTACTAACAGTCCCGAATCGGGATTATGGTACCCCCTAATCCCCATTAAGGACTGTTAGTACAAGGGGGAACATCCCAAGGTCAGGGGTTCTGGGGCTTAGGGGCTTCGGGGTGTAGGGTGGCTTGGGGTTGGTTGAGTTACATTGTCAACCCCAGCAAGCCTCCAAAAGAAGCGGTCCATTTTAAATTCTTAGGTTCCTGGTTGAATCCTAGACTTAGAACCCTAAACTCCCTAAACCCTAAACTTCGAACCCTAACCCCTAACCCCTGCATGCTAAACCCTAAAGCCCAAACCCTATAAGGTTTTTGACCCGAAGTTCGAAATTCTGGAGCCCTGGGTGCTCAGTCACGCGGCCCCTTGAGGATAAGCTGCTGCTGAGGCAAAGTGACGCGCCTTGTCTGCGCATAGCGTGTGAGCGCCTAGGGTTAGGGTTTACCGAGTGTCGGGTCTTCCCAGACTGCTTCTGTTTTGGAGCCCTAAACCCTAAACCTCAAACCCTAAACCCTAAACCCTAACCCCGAAAAGCCTGAAAACCTTTAAACCCTCCTAAACCCAGAACGAACCCTGAGGAACTCATCGCCCGCTTCGCCAAGATGGAGCGGGCTTCCCTACTGAACCAGGCAGAGAGAGAGAGGGGGGCTGGGGCAGCATTTACTAGGATGCCCAGTAGTACCCTTATTCCCTTTTTGGGGGGGTTTAGGTTCCCTTATAAACCCCTTTAAGCAAAAAAGGGCACCCTTTTTAAGCCTAGGTTACTGGGCAGCCTAGTTTAGGGCTTGTCGGGGTTTAGTGTTTCGGGCAAGAGGGGGTTCCGGAAGCCTACCCTGCACCCGAAGCCGCAACCCTAAAGAATGTTACCGTGATCACCCGTACAAGCTACGCTGAAGATTGGTTCTACCCAGCTACCCTGAATATTGGTTCAAGGTCTCTTGATGGCAGGAGCTTTGGCCGAAAGAATGGTTGAAGAGGATCCTGACGAAACCCAAACCCCCAAAAAAACCGACTTGGGGTGCTCATGACTTGAATACAGGAGGGTTTAAGGTTCGGGGTTTATAGGGTTTAGGGGTTAAGGGTTTAGGGTTTAGGGTTTTTGGGTACGTCCCAACATCATCCCCTTGAACCCCTTAGAGGTTTAGCAAACTGACAGGCGCACTGCTGCCTGAAGCTCGGCGAGTCCGTTCCGGAGTCCAAGGCTGAGGCACAGGACCACTTCCGCGAGGCGCTGCAGGCGCCCCGCAGTTTACTTCATGACGGTTCCTTTTTAGGGGTGGCGGTTTGGGGTTTAGGGTTTAGGGTTTAGGGGTACTCGAACAAGTACCCAATCCGGCCCCCATCTGCGCGCATGGAAGTCCTTGGATGTTGTTCACCTTGATGCTCAAGCTGGGGCACTCTGTTGCAGTCAGATAGAAACATCCCAAGGTCGCTATTGATCCTTGCTCCCGCAAGATAAGCGTCTGCAGGATGAATGTCATGAAGTGTAGTTTTGTGTAACAATAGTTTTGTGTAACAATAGGCAGCAATTGCGCGTGAGGCGTATGCGCGATCGCCTCCTCTAAGGGCATGATCTGCACATGTTCCTTGGCACAGTCTGACCTAACCAAGCACACATTCCTAAGTTGGCCTGCTACGCCTCGCAGTTTTCATGGCGGATCCGGACTTCAAGCAAGCGCAGGACCGTTGGTCAGAACGCCTGCTCTCTGAAGAAAGATTCGCCGATGCGGTGGCGATCCTGGGAGCAGAAGGCCAGCGGGTGCCCTTCATTCGCGCTCACCTGGCTGCCCTGTCCGAACCCCTCTGCGCAGCTTTGTATGGCGACTTTAAGGAGAACGCCACGCGCGAGATCACACTGAAGGACGTTGATGCAGAAGCCTTCGACGTCATGCAGAGGAGCTCACACCATCTCGACTGCAAGTTGACTCCTGAACGTGCCATCTCCACCCTCCAAGCTGCCAAGCTCTACCTCATTGATGACCTCAGCAGACACTGCCTGAGGTATTTGACAAGTTTGCAGCAGTCAGAATTGGACTTGAAAGTGCGGACAATCACTGCAGCACTCAAAATGTCGTACTGCCTACCAGAAGACTTGCTTCTTCGGTATTGCCGCGAGATGTTGCTGAATAGCAAGGGCCTGATTGAATCGCCAGCTTTCGCTGAAGCACATGGATCTATCATACATGCGTTGATCCAGTTGGATGAGTTGGAAGTCAACGAGGAAGTGCTTTGGAGCCAGCTCGTGGAGTGGTCTTCCAATGCAGTGCGCAAGCCGGAGATGCTGGGTCCATATGCGGATGCTGTTGGCACATCTACGAAACGACAAAAAGGAGAGTCAGATGGAGATGACGGCCTTGGAGGCAATGAAAAGGCACAGCGATCAGCCATCATTCGTATGATCGCAAAACACATGCGCTTTGCGGGTGTCAGCAAAGAGTTCTTCTTTGACAGTGTGAGAACGTGGTTGCCGCGTGAGGACAGTGATGCCGTCATAGGTTGCTTGTGGCTGGGACGCCAATCGCCCGACGTCTGGGCTTGCAAGCGGCAAGGCCTGCCGACCAGCGAACGCATACCAGCTGCAAACGTCACAGTGACACAGGAACGTCCAGATGCACAAGGACAAGGGGTCCAAGCTTTGCTAGCGGGTTCCGTGTGGAAGCCCCCTGCAACGAACAGCCGCTTGAAAATCAGCGCGCCTGCCTCGATGAGCAAAGTGGCGCTCAACTTTTCTCCCCAAGGTTCCGTGTGGAATTGCCATCTGCAGTACACAGTATTAACAGGAGTATTTAAAACGCAGCCTAGCAGCATTGATGTTGAGGGTCGAACTCTGACATTTGAGTTCGGCCGACCTCTGCGCACCTGTTGGATTCATCCTGGCACCCTCCCCGAGGATGCAGCTTCATTGACACAGGTGACAATCTTTCGGCGCAAAGCACGAGCTGATGTTGCCGAGGAGGCAGCCAGCCGTCTGTGCAAGAACCTCTTCCCATCCAGCACGGATGCCGCCTCGTCTCACTAATCTTGTCACACACGTGATTGGGCGCGTGAATCTGCAGGGGGATGCAGTGAAGAGAATACGGTTTGCGCTGCAGCATTGTGGGACGTTTGCCTTGACCATGCCATTCCTCGAAACAAGATCCTCAACCCTAGGCCTAGGCCCCGAAATGCTCAATATTTTTTTGACATGTGGATGCGCTCGCATGTGTACATGCTTGGGTCGAAGAATGGCCCTGAACCTTTCCGAAGCCCTCAAGCTTGCAACCCTGCTATGCCCTATACACCCTCAACCCCTAAACGCGAGGCCCTGGTGGCTTGGTCTGAAGCATTCGCCACATCTGAGCATTTTGAAGGCCCCAAACCCTTTGATAAAGAACAACTCCTCTGATGGTGAAGGGCATCCTCCTTAATTAAGCGGTCTGGGCGTTTTGGCCTTATAGGGAAGTTTGAGTGGAGTAGCGCACTTCTGATTCTGTTTATGCCTTGCAGGTCTCTGCGTTGTGAAGGCAGGGCTTAAGTCTTGATGCCGAAGGAGAGCTTTTCGTAACTCCCAAGCCACACCCCTTAACATAGGGGTCGGAATAATTACTAGTAGTATTCCCTTATGGTCACTATAATAACCGCCACCCCCCCCCAAAAAAAAAAAAAAAAACATTCTAATTATTAAGGCCCTGATGTTAATGCTTACAGGGCCTAAACCCTAAGCCTGAAGCCCTAAGCCCTCAGCGCTAAGCCCTAAGCCCTAAACCCTAAACCCTTATTCGCCACTTCACCAGGCCTGCCGGACCCTCCTCGACCGGCATGGGCCCTGCGACACACCGGCGGAGGATGGCCATCCACCTGAGAGCATGGCCCAGGTGCGGATTTCGAATATAGGGTTCTGAAGGGAGGTTTAGGGTGTAGGGTTTAGGGTTTGGGTTTTAGGGTTTAGAGGTCAGTCGGGTTTCGGATGTCGGGCTTATAGCTTATAGACAAGTTCCACGCGCACCCCTACGTGGGTCGCGCGTTGTGTTGCATACCAAGGCTTGCGTTCCCTCGGATCATGTACCTGCGTTCATAATGCGAGCTTGCAAGGCGGGTGGAGTTTGAGGAATTCGCATGCCCACACGAACAGGGACGTCTTCGGGTTTAAAGAGTCTAGGCCGTAGTAGATCACTCTAAACTCTACACCCCAAACTTTCCCATTCTTCCCTGGCGTGTCGGGTAGGTCGCCGGCGCTCTGCGGTGCGCCTCACAGTCGGATGAGCTGCCGTGGATGGCAAAGGCCTACTTTCGAAGGGGACTGGCAAAGGAGAGGCTGCATGGCTTTTAGGGTTTAGGGATAAGGTAGGGTTTGAAAGAAGAATCTGTGCGCCCTTTAGATGTGGGGGTCGGGGTCTAGGGTTTAGGGTAGCGAGTCGCGTTTTGAGGGCGCTCAAAGTTTGGGTGGTGCTTATGGACCTGCACTTAACATGGCACAAGTAAGATGCTGTGTAGCAACCTTCAGCCCCATCTCCTACCTCGTTATGTGGACTTCAGGGAGGGGGGGTGAGGGGGGGGAGGGGCATGCCACAACACTACACCCTAAACCCTGAGCTCTCAATGTGTCAAGAGGAGAAGCTCAAGTATCTGACAGATGCCATCGCCGACTTCGAGGCCGAATGTTAGGAGCCAAGGAGGCTAGAGGGTTGAGGGCCGAGGGCGGAGGGTAGGGCGTATTCTTTATAGGTTTCTGTTAAGACCCCACCCCCCCCCCCCAGCCCCTCCCCCAACGGAAAAAGACAAAGAACAGATGCTAACAAAAATAGGAAAAGAAGAACATAATAACAATAACAAAAAATAGCAATCAGCATAATAGTAATAATACTAGTGATATTAATTAATTGTAATCGTAATAGTAATAGTAATAGGAATAGTAATAGTAATAAGAATAAGAATAAGAAGAATAATAATAGCAATAAACATTAGTCATAATCATCATAGTCATCAATAGTAGTAATCATAATGATAATAGTAATAACACAAATGGTAAGAACTAATAATCATAATAATAATAAACAATAATAACAATAAGAATAAGAGAGTTAACATCCCCTGAGTCATAAGCACTCGTTCTCGTTTGGAGGGGACATAGCTAGGATGTCCCTGTTCATGTGTTGGCTTTGTTGTTTTTGGTCCCCTCGTAGGGCTTAGCGACGAACCCTAAACCCCGTACATCGCATAAACCCTCCAACAACTCCAGGAACACTGACAAAAAAGCCTCTGGTCCCTAAGAGGCCCACTAAGACCCTGAACCCTCAAAGAACACACCTGCTTAACCGAAACCCTAAACCCCTTTATGCCCTATAAACCGAAGACCCCCCTCAAGAAGCAAAAAAACAAAACTAAGACTAAACCCTGAACCCTATAAACCCTAAGCCCTAAACTCTTGTGAACTTAACCCTAAACCCTCCAGGCGGCCGCCGAGCTTGAGCCCACGGACGCCACGATCGCCAAGCAGCTGCATGCGGCCAGGGCCCGCAAGCACAAGGCCCGGGGTTTCAGGGGGGAAACCTTAGGGTTTAGGGTTTAGGATTTAGGGTTTAGGGTTTGGGGTTTAGGTTTTAGGGTTTAGGGTTCGGGGTTTGGGCTTAAGGAGGCTAAGGGGAACCACAGGTTAAGGGTTTCGAGCTTGGGATTTAAGCTTTTTTGGTTTCGGGTTTGGGGTTGAGGATCTAGGAGGGCTGGATGCAAAGGGTTCGAAGTTGGGATGTTCCCCCTTATGCTTGCAGTCCTTAATGGGATTAGAAGAGGGAGCGCTGTAATCCCAATTAAGGACTGGTAGTGTAAGCGGGAACATCCCAAGTCAGAAGGTTTTAAAGGGTTTAGGGCTCAGAGGTTGTAGGGTTTTGGGTCTTAGGGTGCAGGATTTCGCCTCTAGGGTGCGGAAATGTTCACCCCAAACCTTGTTGTGTTCCAATTACACTCACCTGGGTGTTGGTGTGTGCCTGCGTGGGGTGGGAGGGGGGGGGGGGGGTTACAGGGTTAAGGGCTGTCCTCTGAGGCGGAACTGAAGCCCACACAGATGTTTGCCGGCATCCTCCAACGCGAGCGGGCGGAGCGTGAACGCGAGGATGCGGGGGCCGCGAGGGAGGGAGTGTGGGGTTCCTTGGAGATGAAATGAACCCCAAAAGGGTTTATGGTTCATATACCTTAATGAGAATTATAGTAGTATAGGGTATATGACCCCAATTTTGGGGTTCATTTTGGTCCCCAAGATTCAGGGTATGGACCCTTTCGGTGTGCCTTTTCGACGGCGGGCCCTAATTTTTGGGAACCCAGAAGGAACGGTCACCATAATTTGGAGAACTGGCTAGAGAGGAGGGGTCTTGGCATTAGTCATGGAGTTAAGGTCTGTCGGTTGTGGTGCTTGTCGGGCTCAAGATGTCAGGCTTTGGGTTTCGGTGTAGGGTTTTTGGGCCACAGTTGCGCAAGGATTGCCGTTCAGCGGTCTAGCTCCCTAAGCCCGAAACCGCACTGAACCCTACCTGAATCATCCAATCCCCAAAAACCCTCACAGGCCCCTCTGAGTATTGACCCAAAGACCCACAAACCCCAGACCTAAAGTCGGGCGCACAACTTCCTAGAGTCCTATAGATGGGTTTAGGGTTTAGGGTTCAGGGTTCACGGTTCAGGCTTCAGGCTTCAGGGTTTAGGATTTAGGGTTTAGGGTTTAGGGTTTTGGGTTTAGGGGTTTAGGGTTTAGGGTTTAGGATTTAGGGTTTAGGGTTGGGGGTTTAGAAGGGAGCCCTGCGAGCCCCAATCAAAGAGTCCTGCTGCTGGCCTCTGGTTTGATTAGCTTAAGGGTGTATAGGGTTTATAGGGTTTATAGGGTTTATAGGGTTTATAGGGTTTATAGGGTTTATAGGGTTTATAGAGTTTAGGGCAGGGTTTGGTTTTTCAACCATACTTCTATGAGACACGCCCCTTGTGGCAAGGTGTACATCTCGAGCCCAGTGGCTTTTTTCGTAGAATTTTGCAAACACCTCAAAAGATTCCCAGGTACGGTATATCCTGCAAATTGGACTCTTAGTAAGTCCTAAACCATAAACCCTACACCCTACTCCACAACCAAGTACCTGGTACTGGCTTGCCGTGAAGCCCTCTCGACGGCAAGGAGGCTGCTGCCGACCTGGCGGCGAGAAAACAACGCCGCGACTTGACCTCCATCCGGGGCTCCACTGTGTGCGGAGAGATGATTGAAGGGATTTAGGGTTTAGGGTTTGGGTTTAGGGTTTAGGGTAGACAAGCTTGAATGGCTTACTCCGACTTTAGGAGTTGCTAGATAGCAAAGCCTGGACCCAAACCCTGTTTGCGCACGACGTCAGGCGAGGAGCGCCTGCAACGTGAGGCCGCCCTGCGCGAGGCGGACAAGGCCACGGAGGCCGACGGCTCGGGTTAGGCTTTAGGGTTTGGGGTTTTTGGGTTTGGGGTTTAGGGTTTAGGGTTTGGGGTTTTGGGGTTTTGGGGTTTTGTGGTTTAGGGTTAGGGTTTAGGGTTCAGGGTTAGGGTTCAGGGTTCAGGGCTTATGGGGTTTAGGGTCTTTCAACTCCTGCTTGGAGCTCCTCATTGGTAAGTAGTTAGATATGGGGCTCGAGGGGACTAAATCAACGCTACAAGGCCTTGTGTTTCAAGGAATGACGGCCTAAGCAGCCCTGATGCAGGGCATTGCACAAGAGATAGCGACGTGCAATCAGCTCACGGCCAGCCGCTCGCTCGCTCGCACGTCATTTTGTAGTACCTAGTCCACCCATCCACAGACCCCAGCGAAACAGAACAACAAGAAGCCTGTGAAAGCCAAAGTTCCTAAATCGCCAAGATGCCCCCAAAACCTTTAGCCACAACTGCCCAAATCCCAACCCCTGCCCTCCCCCCAAAAAAAGCAAAAGAAATTGCAACATAAACAACAAGAACAAAAGAAATAGCTTCCCTACCACAGCACCCACAACCAATACTTCGAATTTCGAAGGTCGACACGTAGTGCTTCCGCTTCGTCATCGACCAGTCCCTGGGCAGCTAAGTGGGGTTCAGGGATTTGGTGCTCAGCGTTTTTGGGAAGGAGTCCTTCAGAAGAACCCCTCCAATAACCGTCCAGCTGCATGCTCAGGGTTTAAGGTCTCAGTGGGGTTTGGGGGGTTCAGGGTTCAGGGTTCATGGCTCAGGCACCTTGGGAGCTACCCGGCGGCTACTCCGCTGACTGCGTTCTGCCTGCTTGTGCTGCGACTACGACTGCGACACCTCGGCTTGCCGGAGCGAGAAGCTAGACACGCCGCGTCCGGGCGTGAGAGGTGTCCTGAGACGTTTGGGCTGCATGAGGTTTGCAAGCCTTATGAGGCTTCACTGTTCAGGGAATTTAAGGGTTGAAGGTCTAAGGGTCACTTGTCGGAGAGGTCGGGAGACACCCCTATGAGATCCTATGAGTGTTAGGATCCTAAGCCATCCATCACTACATGGAGACCATGAGGGAATACTAGCAGCAACTTACTTCGAGCCCTAACCCTAAACCCTAAACCCTAAACCCTAAACCCTAAACCCTAAACCCTAAACCCTAAACCCTAAACCCTAAACCCTAAACCCTAAACTAAGCCCCAAACGTTTCGGGCGGAATCTCGGGGCAGCCGGAAGCTCCCGGAAGCTCCGAGCTGGGCCAAGACTTACTGTTGGTTAGTAGGGAATGAGGTCATGAGGTACCCTATATCCCCCTACATATACCCTTTAAGGGATTTTATTGGGTACCTCATTAGTACCTTATTCATTCATCCCCTACTAACCAACAGAAATGGGAGCTGCCAGGAAAAAGAGACCGCTGGGCTCAATTGGGGGGGGGGGGGGGGCGGGGGTTCAGGGTTTGGGGGTGTAGGGTTGAGGGGTTTTGGATTTTGGGTTTTGAGTTTAGGGTTTAGGGGGTTAGGTGTGTTGGGGTTGATGGCTCGGGTTTAGTGGTTCAGGGGCCCTCCAGTCTCATCTTGAATGGTTTGCAACAGGTTTAGACGTTTTGCGTCGGGCTGGTGTCGTTTAAAGTGGAGGACTGAGAGGGCTCGGTGCTCATGAGCTGAGACTGATGTGTTCTTGGCTTGGAGGGGCTCACAGCTTACGGGGAAGTTTGAGGGTTTATGGTCCTCCCCAACAGTCAAGACCTCAGAAAACTTAGGAGGAAGTACTATAGGATGGCGACGTCAAGACTATCGGCCAAGTAACCCCGTTTCAAGACCCACACCCGAAACCCTAATCTCTAATTACACCCTAAACCTAAACTCATGAACTCCTAAACCCGAATAGGGTTTAGGGGTAGCCCTGTAATCCTCCAGCCCCCCTCATCCTCTGAACCCTAAAGCCCCCCCAAGCCCCTCCCCCACCCGCCAACAAAATAGTAACATCAGGAATGAGAACAATCACAATCACAATCACACAAGGTTTTAGGGCTTAGAGCCCCCCAAACCCTACTTGGAGGTTCATGGTACTTACTAACCAATGAGAACTGTACTTATAACCCTACTTCTAGTACCCCTAAAGGGCCTGATAGGGGTTATCCCAATTATAAGTAGGGTTATAAGCCCAGTTATAAGTGGCTATGAAGTCCCATGAACCTTCAAGTAAGCCCCAAACCCGAAACCCTAAACTAACGAAGCCCAATCCCGGCGAGGACGCGGCGAACTATTTTTGGCGCTTGGCCTTGGAGATGGCCACTGGGCCATTGTTTCGATTCGCGGGTATAGAGGGTTTAGGGTTTAGGAGTTTAGGGTGATATCCCTAAACCCGTATAGCGATTGAAGGGTTTAGGGCTTTCGCGAGTATAGAGGGTTAGGGTGTAGGAGTTTAGGGTCATAATCAAATTGAAACACTTATAGGGATTGAGGGCTTTAGGGTTTAGGAGTTTAGTTTGACACGGGCTAATTACAGGGCATGACAAGGGTAGTAGTAAGGTTTGGGCTTGTTTGGTCTGGTTTCAGGGTTTAACGCACCCATTCAGGGTGTGGGTTTAGGGTTTAGAATTTAGGATTTCGGGTTTAGGGTTGAGGGTTAATTAGGGATTAGGGTTTAGGGTTTAGTTGGGGTTATAGGGCCTCAGAGGGCAGGGCTGTTGACTGGAGGCAAAATGCGGCCCCTTTATAGGCTTTTGGCTGTCTCTATAGGATTTTGGCTGTTGCGACTGCTGGGGTTTAGGCTCAGGGTTTACAGTGTACAGTGTCAGTCTAGGTGGTGCTGTGCCTTCACAAATTCCGAAACCCTAGTCCCTAAACCCCCAAACCTTAAATCCCGAAACCCTGACAATTCCTAGACCCTAAACCCGAAACCCTAAACCCAGGTCGCGGCACCTCCTCCCAGCGACCTTGGGCCCGCGGAGGCACATTTCTTTGTTCGGGGTGCTGCCTTCTGGGGTTTAGGGTTCAGGGTTCAGGGTTTAGGGTTGAGGATTTAGGTTTAGGGTTTAGGGGTAGGGTTTAGGATTTAGGGGTTTAGGTGTTTAGGATTTACGGTATAGGGTTTATGGGTTTCGGGGGATTCAGGGGCTGTTTTTTGAGGGGATGCGTTCTTCTTGCGTTTTGCTTGTTATGTTGGAGGCGTTCGGGGTTTGTGTTTCTCCTGGTGGAGAGGGGTTTGGTTTTGGCGTTGGCATGCGGAATGTGATGCTCAAGTTTTGGGGGTGTGGGGCGTGTCTCGCCTAGAGCCCTAAAGCCCCTAAAGCCCCTAAATCCTCAAACCTCAACTCTGCATGGGTTGTCCTCCAAATTAGGTCCCTTGTTAGGTCTTATAGAAAGTACGGACCCAAACAAACGCCTAATTTGGAGAAGAAATTCTGTTCTAAACGCTTGCGCGCGCCGCCTCGGCAGCCGGGCCGGCCCCAGGACAGGAAAGGAGGAAAGAGGGTTTCGCAAAAAAAGGGAAGGGGAGGAAGGGCAGCGGGGTTAAAGGGGGGGGGGGGGGGGGGGGGGGGGGGGGGGGGGGGTGGAGGGGGGCGGGGGGTTGCAGCTCCTCCAAGCGATTGGGGGGGGTCCCACAGGGCGGGGGGGGGGGGGGGGGGTGGCGTCACAAAATTTTGCACGCGGGAAGGGTTGGGTTGGGGGGAAGGAGGCCCGATCCGGGTCGGCTTCTTCCAGACGCTTCTCGGCAGGAAGCCGAGGCGAATTTGGAGAAGAACCCCTGTTCTCCCTAAACCCTAGACCCGAGACCCTAAGCCCTGAGCCCTGAGCCCTAAGCCCGAAGCCCGAAGCCCTAATCTGAAACCTCCTCCAAATCATCCCCGAAGACTTGGCAAAGGCTCTCCGGAGGAATGAGGCGCTGGCCGCCAACTTCTGGGAGCTCAGGCGGCGGGCGGACATCTACTACGCCGGAGCCTCACGTTATCCGAAACCCTAAGCCCTAAACCATAGAACCTAGACCCTAAACCCTAGACCTAAACCCTATTGCAGAGTCTAAGGGTTCTGGGTTTAGGTTTAATTAGCTGGCTAGGGTTCCGTAAATCCGATAGCCGCACCTAAGCCCAGAACCACAAGACCTGAATCACCTTGATTCAGGGACTTTCTCCTACAGCTTACGGTTTCAAATTAGCAGGGCTTTCAGGGTTTGATTTCGAGATAGCTACCCTTGAACCTCCAAGTACCTTGTATACTGGCTCCTGACTGAACCCTGAACCCCAGCACAGCCACTGGTGTCAACATTTGTCTGACTCGGGAAACCCCTCCCCAGTGTGTGCCCTTTACTTCATTTTTACCAGTAGGGGCCAGGTCGCCGTTTCAACCCCGTGATAGCCTAAAACCGCTACACTCCCTCAACCCTAGACCCTAGACCCGAGACCCTAAACCCTAAACCCTAAACCCTAAACCCTAAACCCTAAACCCTAAACCCTAAACCCTAAACCCTAAACCCTAAACCCTAAACCCTAAACCCTAAACCCTAAACCCTAAACCCTAAACCTAACCCTAAACCCTAAACCCTAAACCCTAAACCCTAAACCCTAAACCCTAAACCCTAAACCCTAAACCCTAAACCCTAAACCCTAAACCCTACCCCTGACTGAGGCCTATTCGTACATCCACTCCTACATACAGGCCATGCTCTACAAACTTGACAGGTCTAGGAGTTCAGGGCTTCGAGTCCAGGGGCTCAGGGGTTTAGGGGTTTAGGGTCCAGGGTTTAGGGTTTCGGGTTTAGGGTTAGGGTTTAGGGTTTGGGACGGGACAGGGACCGGGGACTTCACGAAGAATGCCCATGCGGCCTTCGGGTACGGTGAGTTTAGGGCGTCAGGGTAGAGTTGCGGTATCGGGGCATGTGCCTCATCGGACTACTACACAGGACTCACAGTGGGCCCTAGTTCCCTTTTTGTTAGGGTTTAGGTTCCCTGATACGTCCCTCCGAAGCCCTAAGCCCTGATATTGTCTATGTGTTGGCCCTAACATCCCAGGCTCTGGATGGTGTTTCAGTTTTTGGTTGGCATTTGATTCATGGTGCAAGCACCCCATCAGAACCCTGGGTGTTAGATGTTAGTGCCCACTGCGTTCTAGACCTGCGAGCGCCGCGATGACGGACATCGAAGCCTAGTCAACAAAATGGCTCGCTGTGGAGAACCTAAAATTAGCTACATCTAGCTGACATAATTCGGAGGTATGGCATGCAAGTCTCCAGGTTTCGTATTATGTTAATGTAGTTCACCCTGAACCCTCAAGCCTAAGCCTCAACAACCTGAAGCCACAACCTCCAACCTCCTTAACGCCGACCCAGACGAAGCACCAGTCCAAACGCAAGCAAGGACCTAAACTCTAAACTCTAAAAAAGAATGGGGCCTTAATAATTACAATGGGTTTTGGGGGATATTGGATTGTATAGTGATACAGGGACCATAAGGGGTTACCATTAGTAATCACTCCGACCCCTATACTGGACCACAGGAGCCTTTCACGACACTGCTGCCGGAGCACGTGTTTAACTGCGCACTGTTCCTGTGGCCCGGCTGGAACTCACCAAAGCCTTGAACTCCCTTGGCCCGAAACCCAAACCCTAAACCCTAAACCCTAAACCCTAAAGGCCCTAACTAATTCCTGCTTAGCCTGTAGGCTGAAAGGCCAAGAAGCCCTGGAAGCCCTGAAGACATAAAGGCAACCTGCAGTCACGAAGTTGCGCCTACAATCCTCGATCACCTCGAGTCGAGGGCGGGGCTCTAGAACGAAAACCCTCATTAGGGTTTAGGGTTTAGGGTTTAGGGTTTAGGGTTTAGGGTTTAGGGTTTAGGGTTTAGGGTTCAGGGTTCAGGGTTCAGGGTTCAGGGTTCAGGGATTAGGGTTTAGGGTTTAGGGTTTAGGGTTTACAAATGCCAAGGCACCAAACCTCCCAACCCAAAAGACTTAAATTAGGGTTTGCGGTTTAGAAGCTTTCAATCTCGATGCTGGAGACTTCTCTTTGCCCTAAGCCGCACAGCGTTAGTCTTGAACCCAAAGCCGAAACTGCCACTGCACCATGGGGTCCATGATGATGCTCGACATAGGCGGTCTGGCTTTGAGTAAGGGTTGAAGGGGCGGCGAGGTACTGAAGATAGGGAGTGCCCCGCCAATCCACTCTGGAGCTCCTACACGGGCCCTTGGCTTGGGACCCGCCATGTGCCCTTCAGAAATCAAGGGGCCCACACTTTGTGGAACTCTCAAGGAGGGTAAAGGCCCGTTTCAGCGGGCCATGCAACTCCAAGCCCCCCCTTATGAATCCCATTTGGGCGTTTGCCCAAATAGGGGTACCCTCAATATACCCCCCCAAAGAGTATAATCCTTATTATAGTAACCCCTAAACGGGTACCCTGATTTTCTTAAATCCCCAGGCGTAGAAGCTCTTTCCAGCTGTAGGTGGAACATCCTCGCCTCCAGCGGGTTCTCTGCGCAGCCTGTGCAAGCCTTGCTGGCGCAGGTCGTGGGCCCAAAGCCCTAAACCCGAAACCCTAAACCCTAAACTTGTTTTTCAACCAGAGCCACCCGAGGCTGCTTTTTTGCAAGCCCTAAACCCTAAACCCTAAGCGGGGTGGCGGGAGTAGGATTTAGGGTTGTGGACGCTGCGGGACACAGGGGCAGTAGCTAGGAGTTGGGTTTCAGGTTCCCTGGACACTTCAAGTGCGTGCCAGACCTCGAAACATTGGGATCAGGTAATTGTTTTTTTCGGACTCTATGAAGGCTAGGGTTGTGCTTTTGGGCGCAGTTCTTTGGTCAACCTTCTCGTTTCTCCCCACACAGCTCCCTTTCAGTATTAGCCACAAATCAGCTCCTGCCAAACTCCGTTTCGATCTCGCCCCGAACCCTAAACCCTAAACCCTAAACCCTAAGTCCCTGAACACCTTTGTCGCGTCTCAGTGCAAGTTCTGGCGGGGTGGGCAAACCCCTGGATCCCAAAAATCCCGAGAAACCCGATAGGCCCCAAAACCCTACAGCCCCAAACCCCTGAATCCTAAACTTAAATCAAAGAGGAACCCCTCTGATATCCCGAAAACCCGAAACCCTTAACCTTCATTCACCTATTTACCGTGATTGCCCTTCCCGGTAGCTGAGTGGCACCCATTTGCCCCTTTTGGGGTGTTCCCTTTATGGAATTAGGTACCCAAAACCCCCATTGTGTGTGGTTTTGGGGTGCCTGCTCCATAATCGTACTACACATGGACCCTCTGGGAAAGGTAACCAGCCCCAAAACCCTACCCTCAAAACCCCTAAACCCGAAACTCATATGCCGACTGGGCTACCTAGGCCCTAAACCCTAAACCCTAAACCCTATACCCTATACCCTATAACCCTAAACCCTAAACCCTAAACCTGCCGAGGTCCAAGGGGGCCCCGAAGCCGAAGCTGCCTACCTCGAGAAGCCTGGGAGCTCAGAGGGTTGGGTGTTGAGGGCTATGGGGTTTGGGGTTTAGGGTTTAGGGTTTAGTTTAGGGTTTAGGGTTTAGGGTTTAGGGTTTAGGGTTTAGGGTTTAGGGTTTAGGGTTTAGGGTTTAGGGTTTCAGGTTCAGGGTTTAGGGTTTGGGGCTTCGGGTTTAGGGTTTGCGGGTTTGGGGTGAAGGCTGGGAGCTCCAGTAGTGGGTGAGGAGCTTGGTAGGGTTTGGGAGTTGAGTGTATTTTGGTTGAGGGCTTAGGGCTTGGGGTTTAGGGGTTTAGGGTTGGGGTGTAGGGTTTTTGGGGTGAGGGTTTGGGGTTTAGGGCTTTTGGGGCTGATTTGGGGTGTAGGGTTTATGGCTTAGGGTTTAGGATGCTTAAGAGCTTTGGTCTTTGAAAGTAGGTTCGGTGTCGCAACAAAGGAACTCTCTTAGTTGGGTCATCCCAACTATGCTTCTCGATATTATGGGCTTTGACACAGTGAAGTTGGCCTCTATCTCTGGCTTTCTTGATCAGATCGATGTTTTGTATACTGGTGAGAACAGGCAGAGCTGGATTGCGCTTTTGCATCCGTCGAATGGCAACGTGTGTTTGCCGCCTTGGTGCAGGCCCCACGCTTTCCTAAACCCTAAACCCTAAACCCTAAACCCTAAACCCTAAACCCTAAACCCTAAACCCTAAACCCTAAACCCTAAACCCTAAACCCTAAACCCTAAACCCTAAACCCTAATCTGCTGCTGAGCCCTGATGATGAAGCTCTGCAGAATGGAGTCGCCAATGTGAGAGCTGTGCAAACTACAAAGATGGCCAAGAGATCTACAAGGGTTTAGGGTTTAGGGTTTAGGGTGTAGGGTTTAGGGTTTAGGGTTCTGGGAGGCAGTATGTTGATGCTCAGAACGGCCTCACGTTGTTTCAGGATTTTTAGGGATGTAGGGGGCTTGGGCCTTTAGCTTGTTTTGGGTTTGGGGTTTAGGGATTGGTCTTGTCGGTACTCAGAGGGCGTTCGGGATGTAGAGCTTTGTGGCTTTGCGGGTGTTTAGGGTTTCGGGATTTGGAATTTAGGTTTTCAGATTTTGGTTGGGGTGTCTCTCGGAATTTGGATTTTTCATGGCATTCGGGTTAGTTTAAGGGTTGAGGCTCTAGTTGCTTCTAGGGGGGGAGACATTTATGCGCCAAATCCTTAGGTTCACTTTGTGAGGTAATTGTTGGAACCTCGAAAACCCAAAGCTCCTCTAAAGAAACCTCTACGGCCCTAAGCCCCTAACACCTAAATTAAGTCTAGACCCTGTAAGCCCTAAACGCTCTACCTAAACCCAAACACCCGCAAAAAGAAGCCACCCTAGACCTAAAAACTTGCCCCCTGCACTCTAACCGAACCGCCAAATCTAAACCCCCGAACTCTAAGCCCAAAACCCACAACCCAAAAACTCAAACACAAGCCCCACACCCTAAACTAAACCCCAAGCCCTAAACTCCAAACCCTAAACCCTCAACCTCAGACCAACCCAAACCCTAAACCCCAAACCCTAAACCCGAAACCCTAAACCCGAAACCCTCCCCCCCCCGGCCATCTCCGCTCACTCCGGCGTGCAGGGTGCGCGCGGAGGCGGCGCAAGGCAGTGCCCAACAAAGTCGCGGGCACCTGAAGGAGGCTGGGTGGTTCAGGGAATAGGGAATAGGGTTTAGGGTTTAGGGTTTAGAGTTTAGGGTTCAGGGTGTAGGGTTTAGGGTTTAGGGTTTAGGTTTAAGTGTTGGGGGGGGGGGGGGGTGCCTGTAGGGGCTGAGGGCTTTTCATGGTTTTGTTGTCTTGTCTTTCTTCCGCGTTTAGGGGGTCCGGGGTTTTGGTTTGCGGACTAGGCTTTGGGGTTATCTGGTTTTGGGTTTGGGGATTAGGGGATTAGGATTGCTGGTTTAGGCCTTCTGGGCATTTTTGGATCAAGGGTTTAGGCTTTTTTGCAGGATTTTGCTGTATTTGGGGTTGAGGGGCTTTGGGGTTCGGGTGCTTAGCCCTTGTAGTGCTTAGGTTTTAGGGCTTCTGCAGGCCTTTTGGCTCTTCGGAGTCAAGGTTGTCTCGGGGGCTTGCGGTGTAGTTAGGGTCTGAGGTCATAGGCCGAAGCATAATCCATTTGAGCATTGAATACGCACTGCATGGGCCTCATTTTGCGCCAAGGGACTTGCTTGTTGAAATCCCAAATATCAACTGTAACAGGCACCACAATCGAAGACGCCATCTTTGAGTATTGTGCCCCACTGAATCCAAAACAACAAGCCCCAGAACTTAGATCCTAACCCTTAAAGGCCCTTGAGGTTTCGGGTTTAGGCTACCTGTTTTAAAAAATAAGTCCCACTCTAAATGAAAGTCAGCCTAGCCAGGTTCCCTTGGGAATCTCCCGCGTCTACATCCTCTACGCCCTGGCAAAGCAAGCGCAAAGCCTTGGAGCGGCCTGCCTCGTCTAGGGTTTAGGGTTTAGGGTTTACGGTTTGGGGTTTAGGGTTTAGGGTTTAGGGTTTGGGGTTTAGGGTTTAAGGCCTAGGGTTTAGGGCCTGAACTACACTGTCGAGAGCGGTTCTGGGTTTGGGTTGAGAGTTTTTGGGGTGTAGGATTCGGGTTGGGGGGTTCGAGAATTTAGGGGTGCAATTTCGGGGATAGGGGTTAATAAGGCTTAGGGGTTAGGGATGGGGCTTAGTCAGAGGCCGTCCCTAAAGGTTTTGTGTTTAGAGACGCTTATCACGAATTTGATCAGGGTGGCAAGTGACTGGTGGGTCCGCAGTCTAGGGTTAGGGTGGATAATGGAAGTGTGATCAGAAAGAGTCCTACAACAAAGGGTATCTTAGAAGGTACCTCTAAAGAATCCCACCAGCAAGGTGCCTTTACAGGAAATGTCAGGAGTCCGGTGATGAAAGACACCGAGAATCAATCCTACTACCCCAGGCCTCTCTGAAGTTCCTAATAAACCCTCAAACCTAAAGAACCTGAAGCCCTACTAAGCCAAAAAATATCTCCTAAAGACCTCAAGCCCTAAACCCCCGAAAAAGCCCTAAAACCCCGAAGAAGCCCTGGAACCCCTCACAAGCCCTAAAACCCCGAAAAAGCCCTAGAACCCGAAGAAGCCCTAAATCCTTAAGGCCTGCCGGCTGGCCCGCACGGCCTACGACAAGCTCCAGGCCTGCCATGCTTGGAATCGAACCTTTCGGGTCGCAGGCTCTAACGAACCCCAGGGTTTTTTGCTTTTGTTGGGGTTTGTTCTCTTTTTGGTGGTTTTTTGTTTTTGGTTTTTTGGGTGTTCGGCTTTTGGGTTTCTGTTTTGTTTTGGTTTTGGGGGTTGTTGGGTTCTCGGTGGCTTTCCCTGTGCCCCCTTGACGGCTTGTGTATATGACTCCTGAGCTTTGGAGACCTTTGATGTTCAGGGCCTAGGGTTTAGCGTGTTTACAGAGTTTTGAAGGTTCATATGGGGTTGATAGGGTTCTGAGGAGGCACATCTGGTTGTCTTGGCAGGGAGTAGGGTGCTTCTTGAGCAGCCTCTTTGTTTAGAATCCCGTTACCCCCCCCCCCCCCCCCCCCGGCACCCCGAAAACTACCATTTTCACCTCAGCCCTCTCCAAGCACTGGTTCCTGAACGTCCAAAGACGCAACTACCCTAGACACCATAAACCGTCAACTTCCCTAAGCCCTGATCCCCAAACCCTAAACCCTAAACCCCAAACCCTGATCCCCGAACCCCAAACCCTAAGCTCAAGCAACCCACCCCAAACCTCCGCTGGGAGGTGCTCCGTGTGCCGCCATCCTGGCAACATCAGATCCTCGGAGACAATGATACCCGAAACCCTAGTATAGGGTTAAGGGTTTAGGGTTGAGGGTTTAGGGTTTAGGGTTTAGGGTGTTTTGTTTTAGGTTCTGGGTGTTGGGAGGTCATTTGGCCCGTCAGCCCGGGCAAACATGCCGATATCGGTTGAAAAGCCTATGAAACCCCAAGCCCTCAACCCAAAACCACAACCCCTAAACCCCAAACCCCAAATCCACAACCCCCGTCCGAAATTCCAAACAAGCTAGGACCCAGAGTAGGCCCCAAGTCCTCTTTGTAGGCTTTAGGTTCCCTTTTAAGCCCCTTTAAGCCAACAAGGGCGCCCTTTTTTTTCCTAGGTTACTCTTGGGTCTAGGAAAACTCCCTAGACCCCTAAAGAGGCCTTAAACCCCAAACCCTCAACCCTAATACTATCACCGAAACCCCTCCCAAGAAGGATCCTAAAGAGCAAACCCTGAACCCGAAACCCTGAACCCGAAACCCTACACCGTACTACACCCTACACCCTAAACCCTAAGCCCTGAACCCAAACACCAAGGATAGACCTGGCTTGCCTGGCCATCCGATCGAAGCCTTATAGCGACCAGGAGCTTCTCGAATTCCGGGGCTTAGAAGGTTTTGGGTTTAGGGTTTAGGGTCTCCTTGTTTTTTGGTGGAGTCCAGGGGCCAGTTTAGGGCTTTGCGGGCTCCTGGTTTGGTTGTTGTTTGATTTTTGGTCCCGGTTTGTTTAGAGTTTAGGGAGGGTTTAGGCTTTCGGGTGTGGGGCTTCAGGTTTGAACTTCAGGGGTTTGGTTTAGGGTTTAGGGTTTAGGGCGTAGGGCTTAGGGCTTAGGGCTTAGGGCTTAGGGCTTAGGGCTTAGGGCTTAGGGCTTAGGGCTTAGGGCTTAGGGCTTCGAGGTTAGGGCTCAGGGTTTCGTTTCGCCATCTCTCTGTGCGTGCATCAGGTTTTTTAGCAATCTATGCTACCTTTCTTATGAAATGTGGCTCTCCAACCACCCGTTCGCCCCCCCCACCCGCCCCCCCCGCCCCCCCCACCCCCCCACCCCCCCCCTACCCCCCCCCCCCCCCCGCCCCCCCCGCCCCCCCCCCCCCTCAAAAAAGAGTACTCTTCTCGTTCGTTGCAAGGTTACGCATGGGTCTAAGCCTCAACGCCCAAACTCCCCCAAACCCTTACTAGTGGAACAAGAGAAAGGATCCCTCTTTATATCCCTTAAGCTCCATGTTCCCTCTGCTTTTGGGTTTGGGGTTTAGGGGTTTAGGGCTTAGGGTTATCTACTATCTCTTTGTAGAGACGGAGGGAGTTGGGGACCTCATATCCCCCCTATACACACCCTTGAAAGGGTTATTTGGGATACTTCATCTCCTCCCAGCAGGCTATTTAGCATTTAGAGATCTCAAGACTGAACTCTAAACCAGGTCCTGGTAGATTCCTTCAGCATTGGGCTCTCTGGGGGTTACCAGTTCGTTGGTGCAGGATGACTTGCTGCCCGTGTGCAACTGGTGCCTGGCTGAGAACTGCAAAACTGGGCGGGATGCAGTCTGAGAGGGGTCGGGGGGGGGGGGGGGGGGGGCGCTTTAGGGTTTGGGGCTTAGGGTTAGGATTATACTTTTGTTTAGGGTGCTGTAGGGGTTTATGGGTTCAGCTTAGGGTTTAGGGTTTCGTAGGGTTAAGGGGTTTGGTGCTTGCTTGAGGTGCTTTAGGGGGTCTGGGTTCAGGGCTGAGGATGCCAGAGGCCTCCAGTGCTCAACGTGCGTTTAATGTGGTATCCTGATTAGTGTGGGCCCCCCCCCCCCACCAATCTAAATCCACCCCCGCAATAGTGTCACCAAAAAAAGGGACCCCCCAAACTAATTTTCGGCCCCGGGCCCCCCCCCACCGGCTCCTCTTCATTTCCTCTTCGCTCCTCTTCCCTCTCCTCTTCCTCTCCCTCTCCTCTTAGGTAATTAAGCTCAGGTAAGCTCAGATGAGCTCAGCTCAGGTAAGCTCAGGTAAGCTCAGGAAAGCTCAGGTAAGCTCAGTAATTCATCATCTTGTTCTCTTTTTTTTCTCTCTTCCGAAACCCATGCCCGAAAAACTTTACTTTATTGTGGGGGGGCAATCGAGTTTTTGTCTCCTGAATATTTTTTGGAAAACTTTTCATTATTGGAGGGGTCCAGACTAATCAGGATACGACATTAAGGTTTAGGGTTTAGGGTTTAGGGTTTAGGGTTAGGGTTTAGGGCTTCAGGCTTTACAGGGCCCTCTTGTAAGCTCTGACAGCCTGGCCACAAACTGGGTAGTGGCCAAATTTCCTTTCTTTCCCTTTCAAGATGTTTAAGGGAACCTATTCATAAATAATATTCAAAGGGCTTTAAAGAACCACTCAGCAAAGAACAACAAACGACAGGGAGAGAGAGAGAGAGAGAGACAGAGACAGAATAACACCTCCAACTTGGGATGTTCCACAGTTCTTAGTAGGGATTCTAGTACCCCTTTATTATAATCCCTATTAAGGACTGTTAGTACAAGCAGGAGCATCCCAACCAGCAACAGTTAAAACAAACTACCCGCCCCCCTGCCCAAGAATCACGAAAGGCCCTAGAGCCGTCCTCAAACCCCTCAAGGCCCCTGGCTCTGGACCCCAAAATCCTGGATATTAAGGTGCTTGGTTCCCTCATTCCCTGCGAAGAAACAGGGGTCTATGAGGGAATGGGGTACCCTATAGAATCCCCTAGATATGGGGGGGGATATCAAGTGCTTCCTTCCCTCATTCCCTACAAAGAGCCAGGGGTTTACAAGGAAAACCCGAGCCCAGGTGTATGACGACCAACCCGCTCCTGCGGTCGAACCTGGACGCCTGCACCAACTGCGGGTCCGGAGAGGGTTTTTGGGGCGAAGGGTTTACATTGAGATGTTCCCCTTGGAGGTTCATGGGTACTTATAACACCAATTATAAGTCTACTTATAACCTACTTAGAGGACTTAGGGGGCTTATACGTGCAGTTAGAATTGGGGATATGAGTCCCTGAACCTCCAAGCCCCTTATACTAACAGCCGTTAATAGGGATTATAGTACCCCTCTTATCATTCATCCCTATTCAGGACTGTCAGTATAAGGGGGAAACATCCCAAGGTTTCCGGGGCTTCCTTTTGGGGTCAAGGGTTTGGGGCTTCGTGCTTGGGATTTGGGGCTTCGTGGTTTTGGCTCTTGAACCCGTATAAACCTCAACTCGACCCTCAGCCCTAAGCCCTGAGCCTCTAAACCCTAAACCCTAAACCCTAAACCCTAAACCCTAAACCCTAAACCCTAAACCCTAAACCCTAAACCCTAAACCCTAAACCCTAAACCCTAAACACCACACTCAGCCGCAGGCATCCCTTCATCCGAACCTTCCTTGGCTTCGACATTCTTCCGCTGGTGGAGTTCCAGCCGGATACCGACATTGCCCTGGAGGAGGCCTGGGGACTTGGGACATCAGGCATACAGACACATGTTTGTTCATATTCATATTTATATATTTATATTTCTACTTGTAGATTTAGATTTATACAATTTGGAGTATGTTTGCCTAACTTTGGGGTTTTGGGATCCGCAAGACCGCTCAAAACACCGAAAGCCCAAACCACCCTCAACCCTCACACCCTCCTAAACCCGAAGAAGCCCTAAGTCTAAGCCCTACTTAAAGCCCAAACTCTGAGCCCTCAACACCTTCACCTCCCCCCCCCCCCCCCACCCCAAAGCCCCAAATCCTAAGCCCTAAGTTCTAAGTTCCAAGCCCCCCTTTAACCGGAAGCACCACCACACCACCGCAGCGACTGCCATGCAGGCTCAGAGCCTCATCGCGCAGGAGCCCAACGCCCGCAAGTCTCAAAACAGCCCTCGGCACGCAGTTCGTGGTCCTGGGGCCTTTAGAGTTTAGGGTTCACGCACTTCGTGGTCCTAGGGGACTAGGGGCTTTGGGGCTTTGGGTGGGGGGTTTTGGGGGGTTTTGGGGTGTAGGGCACTTAGGGGAGTTGGGCCATCCCCAAAGACCTACCCTCAACCCTGGGCCACAGAACCTGATAAACCTTGAGCCCGAATTTAACCCTTAGGGTTTAGGGTTTAGGGTTTAGGGTTTAGGGTTTAGGGTTTAGGGTTTAGGGTTTAGGGTCCCCTGAATTGCCACCCACCGAGGTGACGGGTGGCACGAGAGCACCAGAGGTGGTGCCGAGGTCATGTCCCTGAGCGAGGTGCCAGGGCTTAGGGTTTAGGGTTGGGGTTTAGGGTTTAGGGTTTAGGGTTTAGGGTTTAGGGTTTAGGGTTTAGGGTTTAGGGTTTAGGGTTTAGGGTTTAGGGTTTAGGGTTTAGGGTTTAGGGTTTAGGGTTTAGGGTCTAGGGTTCAGGGTTCAGGGTTCAGGGTTCAGGGTTCAGGGTTCCGGGTTTAGGGTTTAGGGTTTAGGGTGTAGGGTTTAACCTTGGGTGCGGCGCAGCCTCTCGTTTTGGGTCTGAGGGTTTACCTTCTCCTTCCACAAGCCCATTCTTGTAGGGTGCCAGAGCTCAGATGAAAGTGGGTTCGGGGAGGTTGAGGTAGGGTTTAGGGTTTAGGGTTTAGGGTTTGGGGTTTGAGGTTTGGGGTTTGGGGTTTGGGGTTTGGGGTTTGGGGTTAGGGTTTTTTGCCTACACCCTAAGCCCTGAAGCGTCTAACCTCTGAATTGTATAGGGGCCCAAAAGCCCACATAAACATAAGGATCCTCCCAGCTGGGTCTTTCGGAATCTTCCTTATAGGGGCCCTTATACCCCAATAGCAGGATCCTCATGTTTATGTGGTGTCTTTGGCCCCTACTTTGGAGGTTCATGGTACTTGTGAAGCAAGTATAACTGTACTCAGATCCCACTTACAAGGCCTTAAGTGGCATAATATGGTTATAAGTACAGTTACCCTAAACCCTAAACCCTAAACCCTAAACCCTAAACCCTAAACCCTAAACCCTAAACCCTAAACCCTAAACCCTAAACCCTAAACCCTAAACCTGTATGGCTGTCAGGGACCCATGCCCGGTGATGAAGCCGGGACTGACCTCTTCGTGCAGAAAATGCCCCGGCCTTGCCTGGGAGGTTACGAAAATAGGGTTCAGGGTTTAGAGTTTAGGGTTTAGGGTTTAAGGGTTTAGGGCTTAAGGGTTTTTAAGGGTTAGAAAGCCCCGAAGCCCTGTACTCCGCCCCGGACTCTTCGGCTTTCGTTTGGGGAGTGTTTGGGGTTTGGGGTTTAGGGCTTGGAGGTTTTGGGTTCAGGGTTTGGAGAAGTTAGGGGATTGTGGTTTGCAGGTTTAGGGTTGAGGGGCTCAGGCCGTACAGGGTCTGGGGTTTTGGGGCCCGTGAGCGCGCACATTGCCCACTACCATCGGCAGCAGCCGATTCAAGTCTGCGGTTTCCGAATTAGTTGGGGTCCTGATTATAAGGGAATCCTGCTTAAACCTTAAACCCCAAAACCCTAAACCCTAAACCCTGAACCCTAAACCCTATAGCCTATACCCTAAACCCGAAACCCTAAACCCTGAACCCTAAACCCTAAACCCTACACCTTAAACCTTAAGCATCAGCACACCAGCAAGGCTCGATGCGGCCAGCTACTTCGTTCCTGGAGAGCCGCCCACTCCCCAGACTGAGAACCGCTGGAGCGGGTTTAGGGTTTAGGGTTTAGAGTTTAGGGTTTAGGGTTTAGGGTTTGGGGTTTGGGGTTTAGGGTTTAGGGTTTAGGTTTTAGGGCACCCAAGATCCCCTAAGGAATATTCCTTAATTTATGAAGGGATCCTTGATATGATTTAAGGCTTATTCTTGAACTAAGGAGTATTAGGCTCTTTGGGTAGCCCTACTATGGCTTGTACTAGGTAGGTTTTTGGGATACTGCGTCCATGTTATACTACGGCCCCACCCAACAAGCAAAAACATCACTTGGAGAGCTGGCCATGTTCTAAGCTCAAACCCTACATGTAGAGAACCGACCATGCTCTGCTGTCAATCCCAAGAGCCCTGAGCCTCCTAAACCCAGAGCTTTAAGGGTCTCGCTTAGATGCGTTGAGACTTGGTGGTCGGGCTTCTGAAACCCTACCTTAATTAAGAACCCAAAAACCCTACATGTTTGTAGGTGACCGAAGAATCCTATAAGGCGTTCCAGAATAGCAGCCTAGAAAGTGGCTACTTTGGTTCTTAAGGCTTAGCGCTTCGTAGAACCCGAAAGCCCTCAACGCTAAACCCTAAACCCTAATGGGTTTAGGGTTTAGGGTTTAGGGTTTAGGGTTTAGGGTTTAGGGTTTAGGGTTTAGCCCTAAAAGCCCTCAAAGCCGCCAGCCGGATTTCAGCTCTCAGGGTAGTTTCGTGGGCCCTTCATATGATCCCTTTTACCTCCCTTAAAGGGTTGCGATGCATGGGCCCTTAATCTCTATAGGGTATGTAAGGGGTATAAGGGGTTTCTAAGGGGTATGTCTGGGGTATATAAGGGGTTTCTCAAGGGTATATACAGGGTTTCTAAGGGGTATATAATGGGTTTCTAAAGGGTAGAAAAGGGGGTGCCCTTCTGCGGGCCCAGACTAAGGGACAATGTAACTGCCCTAAGATCAACCAAACCCCGAGAGACCCCCAGCACCGACCCCTTCTGATGACCCAAAAACCCAAAACCTAAACCTCAGATCCCAAAGCCCGAGTAGGGTCTGGGGCTTAGGGTTTTAGGGTTTTAGGGTTTTAGGGTTTAGGGTTTAGGGTTTAGGGTTTAGGGGTTAGGGGTTAGGGTTTACATCAATACCCGGAGTCCTAAGCCCCAAGCACTGCAGGTACCAGCCGGTGCGAATCGACAGGGAGACCCTGGTAGAGCTGAGGCCTTGCCACTCGGGACTTGAGTTGAGGGGTTTTAGGGTTTAGGGTTTAGGGTTTAGGGGTGTAGGGTTTAGGGTTTAGGGTTCCAGGGTTTTGGGTTGATGGGTTTTAGGTTTCGGAGTTGGGAAATTCAGGGTTTTTGGGTGCCCCCCGTGTGCTACTATCATCCCTGCACCCTACACCCCGACTAGTTGCCCAAAACCCTAAACTCCCAAAGCCACCCAAACCCTAAAGCCCCCAAGGCCCTAGACTCCCGAACCCGAAAAACCCCAAAAGGGGCCAAAACCCTAAACCAGCACCCAACAAAAAACAAAGCAGCCTAGTTTGGCGCCAGAAACCCTGAACCCTAAACCCTAAACCCTCTCTAACCTATGTATATTTAACGGCTAGGGCACCAACAGTTCGCGGGCAACCGCCAACAAATAGCACCAACATTTCGCGGACAGGCACCGACAATTCGCGGACAAAGCACCAACAATCCGCGGACAAGCACCAACAATTCACGGACAAGCACCAACAATTCGCGGACAAGCACCAACAATTCACGGACAAGCACCAACAATTCGCGGACAAGCACCAACAATTCGCGGACAAGCACCAACAATTCGCGGACAAGCGCCAGCAATTCGTGGACAGGCACTCAAGCGCTTCTCAAGAGAACAATGATGAAGGGTGGGGTGGGGTGTAGCCAGGTACTCTGGGCCTCTGGACCGGTTTTAGGCTCTGAGGGCTTATTCACTCGCACAGTGTCGGACAGGATGTCGTCGAGGTTTCGAGGGATGATCAGTGTTCGAAAAGAGACCCAGCATTCCAGGTGTCTTGTTGCGGGACGCCTCCAACGTAATGGCAGGCACTTACTGTGCAGCCTTCCTGTGAGGTGCACGACGTGCTCGAAGTTCACTGCTCGTGTTGGTCGGAATCCAAAGCGCAACATGGCCAGTTGCTTGAAGCACAAGCTGATCACATCACTACCGTGATGGCGCACCGTGAGTTCTGCACAAGAATGAACTCACTAAGTGAGGGATGAAGTCGAAACAGCTGGAAGGCTTATGGCGACCGCAGCTGGACTTTAGGGTTTAGGGCCTGCTGGCCTACTCTGGGCTGGCCTACTCTGGGCTGAAGTGGGGTTTTGGGCCTTCTCTGGGCTGGCCTTAGGGCTGGTTTTAGGGTTTCAGGCTTACTCTGGGATTGTTTTTGGGTTTAGGCCTAGTTTGGGCTGGTTTGAGGGTTTAAGGTCTGGTCTAGGCTGGTGTTAGGGTCTAGGGCTGACTCTGGGCCTACTCTGGGCTCGCTTTAGGGCTTAGGGCCTACTCTGGGCTGGCTTTAGGGTGTACTGACTTCAGGGTTGAGGGCTTACTCTAGGCCTACTGTGAGCTGCTTTCGGGTTTTCTGCCTACTTTGGCTGGCTTTAGGGTTTCAAGGTTTACTCTGGTAGGGCCTACTCTGGGATGGGTTTAGGGTTCAGGGCTTACTCTGGGCTGGGCTGGCTGTACTCTGGGCTGGCTTCTGGGTTTAAGGCCCTATGGGCTGGTTTTAGGGCTTGGGCTTATTCTGGGCTGGTTTTAGGGTGTAGGCCTACTGGGCTGGTTTCTACTCTGGGCTGGTTTTCTTTTTTTCCGTTACGAAGCGTATCTTGGCCTTTGTTGGGCGAGGCTTGACTGAGAGGACTGCGGAAGCCGATCTGTTACGGGACTTTTGGGGTACTGGGCTTGGGCTCTAGGGTTTAGGTCCTACTGAGCCTTAGGATTTAAAGCTGAAATATGTTCATAATGTTACGGGATCCAATGGGTGGGTGGGTCGATATTCGATATCGGAGTAAGGAGCTCTGCCAGTGAAATGCTTGGGCTAAGCCGTAAACCCTAAACCCTACACCCTACGCCTTAAACCCACCCTAAACACTAAACCCTAAACTTAAACCCTACCATTAATCATTCACCCAAAAGGAATCCTAGCTTGGCGCCAGGCCTGAGGAGGTCTACGTCGCCGACTTCCGGCGCTTCTCGCCGCTGCTGCCGGTGCGCTTCTTCCGGAGCATGATCCCCGAGGCGGCGAAGAAGGGTTTAGGGGGTTTAGGGTTTTGGGGTTTAGGGTTTGAGGTTTGGGGTTTGGGGTTTAGGGTTTGGGGGTTTTGGCAGGTTTCTAGGGTAGAATTTGGGGTAGAATTTGGGGCCTTTCAGGGGTTTTAGGGTAGAGGGCCGGCTTAGGGGAAGTTAGGGAAGTTTTAGGTATTTGGGTTTAGGGTTCAAGGCTTGGGGTTTTCTTCTAGTGCACCTTTGGGGAACTAGGGTGTGGGGCTAGTTTTAGTTTCAGGGTTTAACCACCAATTCAACACAGCCAGGGTTGGTTCAAGGTGGGGGCACTGTGCGGTTTCAAAGAGAGATCCCTTTGTAGATGTTTTTGTTTGCAGTTTGTTTCCTTTAGCTCTAGGGTACATAAGAAGTGTAGTTTAGAGGTAGCCGCAGTCGGTGTCCACCATGCTCGCAGACACAGTCGCCCTGCTTGTTCTACTGACCCGTCTTCGTGGCCCTAAGCCTTAAAGCCCGAAGCCTTGCGAATTCACAGGCTTTAGACCCCACAATAGAAACCTGGGCCTGGGATGTTCGTCTTCCCCCTTACACTAACGGTCCTTAATAGGGATGATAATGGGGGGGTACTATAATTCCTATTAAGGACTGTTAGTATCAGGGGGAGCATCCCTAACCTGGACCCTAAACCCAGCGCCCAACCCTAAATCCTGAACTTTGGAAAGGTGGCGATAGCAGTGTGCAACAACTGCGGGAACTTCTTCCACCAGGCGAGCCCATCTCTCTGTCTCTCTCTCTCTCCTCTCTCTCTCTCTCTCTCCTCTCTCTCTCCCTCTCTCTCTCCCTCTCCCTCTCCCTCTCGCTCTGCCTCTGCCTCTGCCTCTGCCTCTGCCTCTCCCCTCTCCCTCTCCCTCTCCCTCTCCCTCTCCCTCTCCCTCTCCCTCTCCCTCTCCCTCACCCGCTCCCGCTCCCTCTCTCTCTCTCTCTTTCTTTCGGGCGGGGGGCTTCCGGTCAAGGGCAAACTCAACCCTTTGCTCCATTTTGGGGGTCAGGGCCCCCTTGAATTCAGGAATTCTACAGGTCATGCTTCAGAGCTTCAGCAGGGTTTCGCGGCACCTCATCACTACCACACCCGACTCCGCCCCATAAAGCCCTGTCCACCCCTCCCCAACCCTAGAAGTCTTAAACCCTAGAAGCCCTAAGCCTGACGATTCTGGAGCCCTGAGTCCTAAACAGCCTAGCCCCTAAACCCCACAAGCCCCTAAAGCCCCAGAAGCCCCCCCAACACCCAAAGGAGCCTGTGTGGGCTTGGGTGTCCAATTCGCAGCTGGAGCCAGCTTTTTTGTAGTTGGCCGAGATGGAATGAGGGAAGCTAGGGCGATTGATGCCCGGCTCTGCCTCTGGCACCAAACACACGGCAAAGGCAAGCGTCCCGACGTCTCGGGTGGCTGGCTAAGCCACAACCCAGCCCCAACCCCCTAGCCCTAAACCCTGAACAGCCTGAGCCCTGAACCCGATAAGTCCCCAAACCCTAAAGGGCCCCAAAAAGAGCCCCTAAGCCCTAAACCCTAAACCCTAAACCCTAAACCCCAGCAGTCTCCCCAAGCGAAGGAGACGTGGGAGCTGGAGTTCCTCCAGAACAGATGTTGCCCATACTGCGGCAGCAAGGCACAGTTTTTTTTTGGGTTTAGGGTTTAGGGTTTAGGGTTTAGGGTTTAGGGTTTAGGGTTTAGGGTTTAGGGTTTAGGGTTTAGGGTTTAGGGTTTAGGGTTTGGGGTTCAGGGTTTAGGGTTTTTAGGGTTGGGGGTTCAGGTTAAGTTTAAAGTTTGGGGTTTAGGGTTTAGGGTTGCGGGCTTGGGGTTCAGGATGTAGGGTTTTCAGGGGGGGGGGGGGGGGGGGGGGGGGGGGTGGCAAGGGTTTTGGGGAGATGTAGGGTCTTCAGCATCCCCGAAAATCCCCAAACCGTCTTTCACCCCCAAACCTCAATAAGCCCTAAACCCTAAACCCTAAACCCTCAACCCTAGACTCCCTAGATGCCCTTGAAGTCCTTAAACTCAAGCCCTCAATTCGCTCAACTCCCTCCCATAGGACAAGGCCTAGTCGGCCTAGTCTGGCCCATGCCCATGATACCCTCAACCCCAAACCCTAAACCCCTAAACCCCTAAAGCCCTAAAGCCCTAAACCCCTAAACCCCTAAACCCTAAACCCACCCTAAACAGAAATACCTTTTAGCCCAACGGTGGGTTTCCAGTCCCTTTCTAAAGGGGTCCTCGGAAAAAAGGATCTTCGGCGTTCGGCTTAAGGCTTAAGGCTTCAGGCTTAAGGCGTCAGGCTTGAGGCTTTAGGGTTTGAGGGTTCCGGGTTGAGGCTTAAGGGTTGAGGCTGACCCATTTTTAGGGGTATATGCCGAAACCCTAAACCCAAAACCCAAAACCCTAAACCCTAAACCGGCCAATCTCTGGAAACTCCCAGCAAATCCCTCGAGATGCCGGGGCACAGGACATCGACGGCAAGTCGGCTGGCGACAAAAAGAAGTCCTCCCGCGCCTCGCTGTAGAAGGCGCGACTAAACCCTAAACCCCAAAACCCTAAACCCTGAAACCCAGACCCTCAATGCCTAGAAGCCCTAAGCTCTAACACTTAGAGTCTAACCCTTCGGCTCGAAATAGCCCAAAAAATCCTTCTATAAGAAGAAGCCCTTTGGGAGTCCTTGGAGTTTTGGGGTAAACTCCCTAAACCCTAAACCCTAAACCCTAAACCCTAAACCCTAAACCCTAAACCCTAAACTCTAAGCAACCCCAAACCTTCAACCCGGCGCTTTACATCCTGAGCCCGACACCCCAACAACGAAGCGCTTTTTATTTTTTGGGGGGGGGGGGGGGGGGGCGCGAAGTTGGGGAGGCCGCACACCTCCCAGGGTCTGTTGGCTGTGGCTTAGGGTTTAGGGTTTAGGGTTTAGGGTTTAGGGTTTAGGGTTTA